CTACAGCTGTTGCTGTTGTACGCTTGAGAAAGGTATTTTACCCCCATTCCAGTCCACCCAGCTGGAAAAATGGGGACCGTTGTAAACCCCGAGAGGGACCAGTGTCCCATTCAGTGGGGGAGTTATGTGAACTCACTCTTAACACTGCATAATCCAGCATAAATTCTGGCCTGATGAGTCACTATTGTAAGATGTTACTTTGTCTTCATCTGAATGGTACTTAACAGTACCAGAATAATATAAACTGATGTGCCAATGGCACAGAGCTATATACCAAAAAGATTGTGAAGGATTTTTGAAGGATGTTGAAGGTATTCTTTTGCTGTTTTTAGACAGCTTATACTTTTTTTTTGCTAGTGTGGTAATTTTATTTTAAAAATCTCACTCACTTGTGCTGGTTTTTATAAAATGTTATTTTCAGAATATTCTTCGGTGGTAGCCATTCTGCCCCTCGCTTCAGTCAGCTGTAATGTTTTTTTTTTGCTTTTGAGTTTTGCAAATAGTGTGGTGCCTTGCTTTCTTGGACCCATAAGAACCAATTAAATATTTCTAGACTCTTGATGCTGTCACCTGGAAATGTGTGAAAAATTAGTCTTGTTTAAAATTATTTATATCCGTATCATTATTATTAATTATGTCTGTATCGAAATAAATGTCATGTCTCTTTTCAATATTTTTCAGTATTCACAATCCAAATGCATTTTCAGCACATACCTATCAATCACAATGACAGCTTGCTCATTAAATGGAATACATTGTACTTTCCGAACTTCCCAGTGTTTGTCCTCCGGGTATATTTTGCTCTCTCGTTTTTCTTTGTGCTTTTTGGACAGATACGTCTGTAGATGATCAGTACAGTATCAGGCCAGTGCTGCATCTGGCCTTCTTAGTGTCCAGGAAGTATTGTGCACAGCTGAGTTTAAGTGCTGCCTACAGCACCAGACAAATCAAGTGAGACAGCTTGCCACTTTGCATAGCTCTGCTACTTTTTCATTTGCCATTTAATAGAATCACAACATTGCCCTCTACAAGAATTTTAGATACAAATGACATTAGCTGTATCATTACAATTATTAATCTCTTTGGTGCCTCACCTTTTGTCCCTAGGCGTCTTCTGTACCAACATCACACTGAAGTACATATAAAATTATACAGTAGCTTTGGTGTCATTTCTTAAGCAACATTAGAAACTAGCTACAGTACATACAGTATCATATTATCCTATTGATCAGTTTACCCAGATTTTGTTTTCAGAAAAGGTCTGTTAGTGGTTATAGTGTTTTAATAGACTTGAATTTTGTTTTTGTGTGTCTGTGGTTTCCATTTTGAAGTATGTTTTCCATTTTGTCGCTTTGTTTTATGTCCTTTGAACTGTAAAATACAGCTGTCAATCCAATCTTTGTTCTTTAAGCTTCTTTCATTGCAAAAGATCAGATTTTTTTCTGATGCTCCATATGTACTGCTTTGTTTTTTTTGCCATTGATAATATAGCAAAGAATACAATATACTACATAAACGTTGTATACTTTTTAACATTAGGAAAAAGGGAGAAAATAAAAAGTGTCTCCAACTCTGTGCTTGTAATCTAAAATTATCCCATTTGATACAGATATTTGTGTGAAAGATAAAACTGAAGTAAGAATGTCTGATTCTGCTGCAGCCATGTTTAAGTGTCATCCCATCCTCAGTTTCCTGAAGTGTATTGGTCTTTCACAATGGATGGCAGATACATTTGTTTTGTTTTGAATATCTTTGGATAATAGACAAAACCACAATCCATAACTACGTCACACCCCAAAGATGTTTAATTTTTTATTTTATGAAAATTTAACTCAAAGTTTACAGACATTTGTTTAAATACAAAATTCACTTTGCTTCTAAATTTCAAGCTGTTTCTTCAGCAGTTAGAAGACTGTTTTTATACCGTTCTTCATTGTTCATAATCATGAAGAAAGCATTGATAGGAAGGCTAGCTTTGCCATCATTACGGCATGCATAGGTATCTCTGTTGGAATTTTAGGTATTTTGACAGAAGATGTATAGCTGACAACAAGGTGAAAAAATGGCTTCTTGGCTTTTATTTTCCAATCCAAGGTATTTTTTTATACACTTGTTTAGTAATTAGTCCCACACAGTCTCCAACACTCAAATGTCATTAATAACTTCAGTGCTTCAATGCAGACACTGATGTTGTATTGTGATAAGCTGTTGAGAAGAGAGGTGACAAATCTGAGGCCAGGTGTACAGTTGGAAATGTCATCCTAATCTTCAGTTCAGTACCCAGGACTGAAACCGTGACTAAGACAGCTGGCAACACAGTGACAGTCACCATGATGGTATCATTACCTCTAATTACAGGCATCTTCTCACTTAGTAATTAACATGCATTTCATTGTCATCCAGACCTTGGATAAGTCATTATTTTTCTCTCCTCTAAAGAGTTCTGCAAATCTCTTTCCCATTGTATTGACAGCTGAAATCATCACTGATACATAGATGGACAGATAATATAAATGCTACAAAACACCGAACACACAGTGGAGTAAATGCAAAAAATCATTTGTGTTTTTTGTCTTTATCTTGTGCATGATTCACAGGCAGTATTTCAAAATGGAACATATACTGTACATGGACGTACTGGGGAAAATAAAATGATGCTATTTTTGGGGAATGTTTGACCGTAATATAATAGGGATCTGTTTGTATTTAATAAATAATTCTTACACTTCTATAGCAATCCACTCAAAGCACTTTATAGGTAATGGGGATTCCCTTCCACCACCGATGTGTGGCCCATACTGGGATGATGCAACAGCAGCCATAGTGTGCCAGTACGCTCACCACACATCAGCTATTAGTGGGGAGAAGAACAAAGCGATGAAGCCAATTCATAAATGAGCATTATTAAGAGGCCACAATTGATAAAGGCCAGGCAGAAATTTGGCCAGGACGCCAGGGTTACACCCCTACCCTTTTCAAGAAATGTTCTGGGATTTTTAATGACCACAGAGAGTCAGGACCTCGGTTTTTCATCTCATCTGAAGTACGGCGCCTGTTTACAGTATAGTGTCCCCGTCACTATACTGGGGCATTAGGACCCACATAGGGTGAGTGCCCCCTGCTGGCCCCACTAACACCTCTTCTAGCAGCAACCTAAGTTTTACCCAGGAGGTCTCCCATCCAGGTACTGGCCAGGCTCGCACCTGCTGGGCTTCAGTGCCACTTGTGAGTTCCAGGGTGATTTAGCTGTTGGGTAATTATTGTTTACTTAGTATTTTAGTTATTAGTATTACTACAGACAAGATGGAAGGGAGGTGTGTTGTGTTGGCACTGCTTTCTCATAGAGCGGAGATTGATTCCTACCTTGGATGCCTGTCTGTGTGCAGTTTGTGGATCCTCCATTTTCGTCCCACTGTCTGGTCACGGGCAGAGGTGTTTAACTGCTATAAGAAGTCCCAGGTTCCCTGGAAGGGAGCTGGTCACTCCATCTCTGCTCTGGCAAGAGTGGCTTCATTCTCTGTTTCTAGTAGAATGTGAAATCAAGGTCTGTGATGTGAATAGGAGAGCTGGTTTACACCAGCATTAATTAATTTACTGTTGTTTAATGTTAATGTTTCCTAATGCTGTTTAGTCAGTGTTTGTACCCAACTCTTTTCTGTAACATTTCAGAAGGATTTTTTTATAATACTTGTCTGTATGCCCCTGTTACACAGGAAAGGCAACATCTTTGTGCTGAAGGGTTTGAATTATTTTCACTCTCAGGCCTATTGCTATGTTAAATAAAAGAAGTGTTAACATTGGACAAGAAAATGAATAGGAAGTAAACTTTAAAATCTGTACGTTGAAGATAGTGTTGGAGGGGTCAGGGGATGGTATGGTGCTAATGGGAGTTCATTTTATTAAGAAAAATCACATTTATGTTAAAAAGTGCCCTCAAATAGTTTAAATTTGTCTGTATCTGGATCTGTCTGTATCCCCACAGGTAACTACGGCCATCTCCATATGGCTAGACTAATACCGACTGGCCCACACCTGCTGCTTTTGTTCCACATGAGAATGTACATATTTTTGTTTACAAATGGCATGTTTTCAGCTACTTAAATCCAAAATCCAAAATGTTTAATAATTGAAAACAAAGACTTCAAATTAATCCAATAATTAGTTCATTAAGGGTCCATCTTTGTAACTCAGACCTTCAAATGGAAGGTAAACGAGTATCACAAGCCTCTATGGTCAGCATTGCAAACAACAGATGTATAGAAGAAACAGTTCTGACTGTACTGATTGTATTGTATTTTATTGTTGTATTATTGTATCATTTCGTTACACTGTTGCTGTGTTGACTGTGTTAAGCTGCTGTTGCTCTTCAATTTCCCTCATGGGATCAATAAAGTATCTATCTCTATCTAAGTGGGAAAAGATTTCCTGGAGTCTTTCTGGAAAGTATACATTGTTTTGGAATGGCTAATGTAAAGAGGGGCAGCACAGTGGTGCACTGTTAACATTGCTGGAGCCCTGGGTTCAGTTCCTGTGGTGCTGTCTGATCTGCATGTTTGTATGTTCTCCCCGTGTTTATGTGCTCCAGTTTCATCCCACAGTCCAATAATGTACTAATTAATTGACCTTGTTTTGAGTGCATACATGCATGTCTGTATCTGTGTTTGTCTGCCCTGTGATGGACTTAGGTCTTAGGTTGTGTCCATGTGCTTCCTGTATATTCCGCTTCGTTTTCCTTCTTGTCCAGCATCTATGGCTGCTCATTGTTGGCAGTAACAGCAGCAAGGGGTGACTGTGATTGAATCCGGGCAGAGGCACGGGGGAAACCTGTTGACGTTCTGAAACACTGCAGTATGGCGTCCAATTGTTTTCTAACACCGCTCTAATTATATAAGGAAGTGTCAAAGAGTTGTGGGAGAAAGGTTGTTTCACCCATCTACAGGAATGAGGGATGGAGACAAAGGAGAACAGCCCCAGTGAGGTCTGTGTTGTTTGTCTTTCAGGCGGAGCTGGTCAAGGGCAGCTCTCAGAGTGTGGGCCTGACCTTCAGACAGGTTCCAGCCAACGAGGGCGATGCTGTTCACGTCAGTATTGAGACTGTTGTCCCCAGCTCCCCGGCTGCGCTGGCTGACCTGCAGAAAGGAGACCGCCTAATTGCTATCGGAGGTCAGTACGCATCACAATTTGCTGTTCAATCCATCCAAGTATCCGAATCACATTTAGGCTTTGTTGAGACAGGGAGATGAGTTTGGAGTGGGAGTTTTTTTTTTCCCCAGAGAAAAGAACAGAGGGTTCCAAAATCAATGTCTTATGAACACTAAAAGATGCAGAGAAAGTTTTCTATATACCTTAATACATATAAAAGCACACTTCAGTTTTTAATGTAAAGTGTGTTTGACATATTATTGAAATGTGTTGCTTTAAAGTCATTGATTGTTGTTCAAAAGCAGCTGCTGCTTGGAAAAATCTATTTTTTCAGCTGTAATTTGGACAGAAAATATAGGTGATTTTTATTAGTAATCACATCCGATATTTACAGAAGGAACAGTGTGATCTTCCTTCCTGTTCTATTAAGCAAACAGAAGAGAAATTCATTACATTCTTCTCTGACCTTTATAGATTAGGGAAAATGAACTTGTCAGCTTTTGAGGAAGAAATGGAAAATTACAGATTTCCATATCTTGTGCTATTTGGCCATAGGGAAGTGTAAATGCAGTGCAGGAAAAGGGAATGACAGGAACACCCAACCAACATGGACTGGAAAAAAATGTTTTTTTTGTTTTTTTGTGTAGGGTGTTAAACCTACAGAAAGCCAAAACACTTTACAAATCAAAAAATACACCTTTAGATCAAATTATTTTGTAAGTATTAATAATGTTTACAAATAATTGAATGCAACTAATATCACATTAAATTAAGGTTCTTGAAGATATACGCTACTGAGCAATGTGTACACTTGCTGACTCCCTCTCTATTTGCTGACAGGTGTTAAAGTGACTTCTTCAGTTCAAGTGTCGAAGCTCCTGAAGCAGGCAGGAGACAAGGTGATCGTGTTATACGAGAGGCCTGTGCGTCACCAGATGCCACCAGTAGGAGTGCTGCAAGAGGGGTTCAGCCAGTTCGAGGAACCTAGCTATCTGTCCCAGCCTGTGTATGAAGAGGACCCGGCCACTATTACAACTCTGGATCCCGCCGATAGCAAAGATGTGGACTCTGAATTTGAGGAGCTTGTTTGTGATATAAAATCCACAAACACTGAGGCTAAGGAAGAATCTCTGCTCACCGTAAACCAAAGCCCCAAGAGGACAGTGGTCAATCTTGCTACTAAACCACTGGGCACAATATCACCCATCCTTAACCGCAAGCTAAACTTGGCCAGCCTTCAGTCTCCTCTGAAACCACAGCCAAAGGAGGTGAGTAAGCCTCCCCTCTCAAAAAGCTCTGAGGTGTCTGAAGCACCACAACTGCAGAGTAAGCCTCCACAGACAGTCCCAAACAGACCCCCAGTTCCTCCTAGACCTCACATAAAGTTAACCTTAGCTTCAGAAACACAGTGCCTACTGGATTCAGGGGATGCCCCCCAGGAGAAGCCAGAGAGGCCACCACCACCTTTAAGCAATGGGGACAAACCTGCAGAGAAACAGGGAGGCAAACCAGCAGAGCAGAGTGAAGAACTGGGTTTGTCCAACTTAAACAAACAGGACTTGACCAAAGACAAGGTCTGCGAGAGCTCCTGCAGTACAAAGGACAGTGTGGAAGACAACACAGTGTGGGAGTCCTCAGAAGCCACATATCGGAAGCAGATAGCAAGATGGAACAAGGCCTCCTCTGTATTTGAGGTGGAGAGTCACCATAAGTACCTTAACATAGCAGTTTGGTGCAAAGACCCTTTTAAAATTGGCAGCCTCCTTTGCTTAGGACATGTCAGTCTGAAACTTGAACACATTGCTTTGGAATGTCTGTCCACATCGTCTATGGAATTTCAAACCACTTTCAGGTTAAACGCACCGGAACCAAAAGCAAATGTGAGTAGAACTGCTCTCCGAAATCTCAGCACCCATAAGGGATTTAACGAGAAACTGTGCTATGGCGACATCACCTTAAACTTCAGCTACCTGAGTGAAGGAGAATCGGAGCACTCAAGTGGCCTAGTGGAAAGGGAAGGGGAATGCGGTGTTCAGGAGGAGGAGCTCCTGCTTCCTAAGGAGGAAGTCGGCCTCTCTGCTATGCAGAATTCAGAGGTGAAGCACAACTTTCAAGATACACAGTTCCAAAACCCCACATGGTGCGACTACTGCAAGAAAAAAGTATGGACCAAAGCCGCTTCCCAGTGTATGATCTGTACCTATGTGTGCCATAAGAAATGCCAGGAGAAGTGTCTCAGTGAGCATCCCTTCTGTATTCCAGCTGACAGGAGGGTGGACTTGGAGGCAAAATCAACCATGAACAGAGCCACAGGATTAACTAGACATATCATCAACACCAGTTCCCGTTTGCTTAATTTACGACAGGTCCCCAAGGCACGTCTGACTGAGCAGGGAGGAGACATGGTGGAGCCCTCCCCTAAACACACTCCAAACACCTCAGACAATGAGAGCAGCGACACTGAGACCTACATGGGAGGTAGCCCCTCTAAGCGGCCTGTCACCTCGGGGAATAAGCTGGTCCGAAAGGAAGGAGGCCTTGACGACAGTGTCTTCATTGCCGTCAAGGAAATCGGCCGGGACCTATACCGCGGATTGCCTACTGACGAACGCTCCCAGAAGCTGGAATTCATGCTGGATAAGCTCCAGCACGAGATCGACCAGGAGCTGGAGCACAACAACTCCCTGGTGAATGAGGAGAAGGAGACGTCAGATGCTCGAAAAAAGGCGTTGATAGCCACTGCCTTGTCTAAGTCTGGGGAGAGACTACAGGCGCTCACTCTGCTTATGATTCATTACAGAGCAGGCATTGAGGATCTGGAGTCAATTGAAAGCACCTCCCCATCTGAGCAGCAGGTCAAGACCAAAGGTACTGAGGACACAATGGTGAATGCAGAAGTCTTTGAAAATGAGATGTGCAGCCCTGTGGAAGCTCAGATGCTAGATGATATTACAGAAGAACAGATCTGTGCCGAAGCTATGCCCTGAGGACCCTTTCAATAAGCGCTAGAGGCTTGTAACTTACATCTGACTTTCTAATTTAATCCTGTTTCAACCTCTAACAAGATAAGTTGAAGATTTCTCAGTGCAGCTGGTCAATGAACATTTTCTAGGGGGCTGTATAGATCGCCATTCCTTTGTTAATGGAATACTGAAGGATCTTCAGGTTTTGTTAAACACAAAAAAAAAAAACAGAGAAAAAGGAAAATTTCCGTAATAGACAGTTTTTCTTTATTGTTCAAAGAGGAAAGGTTCAGCACTCTCCAAAAGTCCTGGCACAGCTCAGCAAACCTATCTAATATATAACTTTAGTTTTCATACCTATGGACACCTCATACATACCCATGGAGAATGCTCTGCCCTGCAAGGCATATGACAGAAGCATAAAGCCAGCCGGGAACAACCTGTATTTGGCATCAGGAGAGAAAGGATGTCATTCACGTTGTTCTCTTGGGGATTGATCAAAATGAAATTCCCAAATGCATCTGTTCTGAATAGACTTTGATTTTAACATTCCTCCAGGTGTGATGACTGTACACTTAGACAACAGAGGGGCACAAAGAGTGAATTTTTTATGTTAATTGTTTAGTTTAAAATGTTTTTTTTTTTAATTCCTGGGAAATGTCAATTTAATGGTCGGAGTAAATCGGTTTGTTGCACTTTATTTATACAAGAGCATAAAGGCTGGAATCCTATCCTTTTAGTAACACAGGGTCTCTTTGATTTTAGCTAAAAACATGACTCAGGGGACAGCAGATTCTCATCTAAAAGGCACTATGGGAAACATACACTCCACACTTACTCAATATGCTCAAGTATTCAGCAGTGACAGTAGTTTAAATTCTCCAGAACTCTTAAAAAAGGATGGACTTTCACATCCTGTCTTTCACTGAAATTTCTTCATTAAACTGAAATCAGAATCTTAAATGTGTCACAGGATAATTGGTTTCCCTACTGCAGTCCCCATTTATTTAGCTGATAAGTTACAAGCCTCGTGTCCCAGACACCAGAAGGCTTAGACCTTTAAAAATAATAAAATGATCATTGTTCTCAATGTACATTCATTCTCTTTGTTTAAGCAGTGTATTTTAAACTCATGCGGTTGCATCTGTAAATGACAGTGAGGTCTTTTTATGGCAATGCTTTTGAATTTAATTCTCTAACTAATCAGGAGGTTGTAAGTTGGTTTTTTTTTTCTGAAATCTGTTTCTGGGCAGTTTGGCAATGACCAATGTTGTACTGTGAGAGCACTGCATAAGCAAAATACTGGAAAGAAACAAAACCTGTTTTGAGACCTGGATTGGAAAGACTATTATGTTTTTGTCTAAATTTTACCAATGAAGCAGAAATACTGGCTTAAATAATTGTCGGTTACTGTTATTTAGTCAAAATATGTATATCTTGTTCTCGCTTTAGTGATTGCTTTTGTTGTAAGAGGATACTTTTTTAACTTTGGGGGCTAAGATGGGAAGCACGAATGCTAGACAGTTTTAATTTTCATTTTAAAGAAATAAAGCAAAAAGCCTTGTATCTGCTGCTTTTCCCCAGTAGGACAGTAGATATACATGCATGTTGTATATTCACCGTTTAAGGGTGACATACTTAAGATAAGATTTGGCATAAATTTGATATTTTTCATTGTTGTTGCACATAAAGTATCTCACCATTTAGTTTGACATGTTCAGTGCTTGTCATTTCCCTGAGCTGATTTATGCTGATTTCTTAGTTCTGTGTCAAGCTTCCCCTCTCTTATCTCACATACTTTGTTGTACCTACAGTAAAAAGTAGAGGTGGTGAAGTGAAGGTTTAGGGTTTTGCTGCTGTGCAAATACTGTATATGCTGCTGTGAAAATAGAAGCTGTTTTTAGATATGTATTTAGACACGGCTCAGTTCTTGACTGAGGCGTATTTTTCACTTGAAGACCATAGCGACACTGGACCCTTTATTATGTAAAAAAGAAAAAAAAGCGCAGATGTACAGCGTTGTTCCATGGTCTTACCTGACATTTAACCATATTTAAATGTTGTACTGAAGGATACTCTTGGCGGGCGCTTGAGAAAGAGTCCAGTCAACATGAATTTGGTCTGGGAGATCATTGCTATTGAACAGACAAAAACAGACACAAAAAAGGTTAGAGAGTATTCGGGATATGCAATCAGAAGCATTGGCACAACTAATCTGAAACTATTTTGAATAAATTGCCAATAATAAGTATAAGTAATCTACTTGTAACTCCACAAATATTTTAATATTTTTCTTCAGTTGTTTCAGCAAACATTTTAAGACATGATGCACAGTGGTGTTGGGGAATGGGGAGCAGCCACAAGTCTGTTCATAAAATGGTACAATATTGAAATGAAATTAAGCTGTACAATAAAGATAATGACACCATTTCAAAATGCCAGGTATAAAAATATAACAAATACAAAGACATCGGTATCTCAGTGAAATTATCAACTAGAAGGTTCGTGTTTATACAACAAGAATGAATGTACTGTGGAAAAATGTTGACCGTTCTACTCTTACTGGGGACTTAGAAATATTTCTGTATATACAATATGTGTATTTACAGTACATGCATATATACTGTATACTGTATATATATACATGCATATTGTATAAATCTGTGTATTAAGTCACTGGTGTACAGTTATTCAGGGTTCTTGGAAAATAGTTTCATTTTGTTTGGGGAAGATGTACAGTAAATAAGGGGCAATTGAGCAGAGGAGTGATCGTTAACACTTATCCTTTGAAAAATGTGCTCATATACCATTGCAATGATTGCCAATGTACAGTATATACACAGTGCAATACAAGAAAACAATATCAGCTACAAAGAAAGCATTGGAGGCACTTCAGATAAAATTGGGGCAGGTGCTGAATTATTGTGAAAGCATACAGTATTACCAGAATTCAGAGAAGCAGAGCTGTTCATAGAAAATTGAGGGATAGTGGAATACATTTCTTTAATGCACTTTGAAAGCCAAAGCCTGTATTTGGAAATCACTGAACTAGAATTATTTTTTACTTCATCAGATTTCTGTTTACAGCTTTGTTGTCTTTTATGTCTGGATTCACTGTAAAAGTAGATAATTTAAGGAAGCCAGGATAAGAGAACACAACGGAAAATAGAAGGAAATTGAAATAAAAGCTGCAGTACATTTCATTTCCTGTAGATACACGGCTACTAATTTACTGTATACAAATGTTATATATTCAGATTTTGTGCAATATTTTTGTAGGAAAGACAGGTAAGGATGATGAAAGAGTGGATCTAGTCTGTGATCCCTCCTCCCACTGACGGCCACCCTTGCTTTCTTTAACTGGCTCTCTGTAATTGTAAAATGGACAAGTGACTTGAACCTGCAAAGAATGATTTATTTCCCTCTTACGCTGCTATGAGATCCCTAAAATCCCACATACTGTACCCTGCTCAGATCCACTGTTTTTTCGTATTCTTATCTCATTACAATGATATATTAACATTGTCTAGCATTACTGTCTGCAGTTGAGCATTTTGCAAGAAAGATGTTAGGTAATAACATAGATCATGTAATCATGCATTACTGTACATAGCTGAAATAAACATTTATCTCACCTGAAAACAAGCTGAAGTCCTTGATTTGTGTCACATTCTCCATTTCCTCAGTCGGGATTTTGGGCTGACATTTGAAGAGTGAAAAGTACCTTTCTTCATCAGTTTTGATGCTTAACCTTTTCACTTAGTACTACAGAAAAAGCATTGCTATGGTAACATCCCAGATAGGTATTATAGGGCCTCTGTTATTAAATTGCATACATTTGCAGTGTAATTTCTCTATTTTGACAAAAATAAAAGTACTGGTAAGTGATATTTTTCTAAGAAAAAATCTAGCACTAGAAGAAAGCAAAGCTTTTTCATGTTAATTGAACAGCAACTTTTTAGATTATTAATGTGTCAGTATTTTATTTTTTTTATTTTCTTTCAGGAATTGTCAGTTATATCTTGCCAGTGTTACAGTAAGCTAGGAGTATAATACACATCCCTGGTAGGTAACAAAAATGTTACTAGTTGCTACTAGTTATTTTAAAGGGACATCTATTATTTAAACATCTGGCAAGTAATTACAACCTAATACTTAGATGGACATGAAGATTAGTATGTGGCTGTTTTTATTTTCTGTCTCAACATGTTCCTTTCATGTCCCTTAAATTCACACATTTCAGTACCCTTGCTTTCTTGAATTTGAATGGTTCAAATAGAGAGTTAGTTAATATTTTTAATATTATGTTCATTTGCCTACTTTCTTATTTCTAAATAAAAAATAAAATTAGAAATCCAGAAGAAACCTAGGTGATACTGTACATCTAAAATCAGTAGTTGAAAATGGATTAAGACCTGTTAAATATTTTTATAAACATATTACAGTACATATCATCAGCTTTAAACTGCAGTGTGTCTTCACAAAATGGCCTACTGCAAACTATGGCTGATTTCTACTACAGATTTATACAGGCAAAAAGCTGCTCATTCCAGGTAACACTTGAGCCTGTCCTGTAGGCACAGAGCACAAAGGGGCCCTGAACTCCAATCCCTTGCAGTCCGCTCACACTCTCAATGTAGAGACGCCAGTTACCCTGGTCAGTATTTTCTAGGAAGCTGGAGGAAACCAGAGTGCTCGCTGAAAACCCAGATGGCCCAAGTCTAGAATCGGACCCAGGACCCAATAGCTGGAAAGCAGCAGTACTAACTGCCTTGCGTCCCCTTTTTTGTAGCATCTGGTACCAGATCATGTTAATTTGAAAGTGCTGGTTACTTAGGGACCTGAATGTTGCAGTGCTTACTTTATTTTGTGCTTGTGTAACTTTGAGGGGACTTTCTGAATGGAAGCTGGATATTTACTTTTAGGACCAGCTCACTGAAGTGAATTACCAAAACCTATTTAAATTATCCTAGAAGAAATTTGGAAATGGAAAACAAATTGGTATTTTGCATTGGAGTTATTTTCTACTCGTAAATCACCCCCAGTTCTGTAAACTGCTCACAGATCTTGGGTCCTGGGATGGAGTCAGGGGCACCTTCTGTGTGCAGTTTATGTTCTCCCAGTGTTTGTGTGGACTTTCTGCAGGTTCCCCGGATGGTTTGTCCCACCTCCAAATGTAGGTTTGTTCAGTATTCTAGGCTAATCCACACTTTGTGTGCTATGGGCAAGAATGAATTACAGAAACTGAATAGTTTAAAGAAATGTTAAGCCTCCTGCTTCAGTATTTTCTTAAAACAAATGCTATATATTTAAGAACACTTAGTGGTTAAAATAAATTAATAAGGATTTATTTCACACAATGAACTGAGGCAATGACTCGGAAAACATTTATTGGGTTGCCCTATAAAGAACAAACATTTAGTACACAATTACACCTGAAGAACAAGGCCACTGTTTGATTTTTTTAAACCTTTACTGATGTGGTTTGTACAGGTTAGTTTTATTTTCAACTACACTAAACACACCATGGGCTGACAAGTTGAGAGAAGGCACATATATATGTATTTTTTCTTATATACAAAAAATCATTGACTAAAAATATATATATGAACACTTTCCACAAGATATAATCACTCTAAGTAATGTTTTTTTGTTTAAATCCATTGTGTTTAGTGCAAATAAGAACATAACAGCTTCGGCAAGAATAATATAGTTATGCGGCCACAGTGAAACATCTCACATTGTTCTGTGTAAATGTAGTATTACAACTTTAAAAAATGTACGCCTTATTGTACTGTCATTTTCTCATGTCTAAACTGAGCCCGGTCAAGATCATGTCTGAAGAGGAAAGGTAGTACAAGAATACAGTACAGACATCAAAGAGAAAGACTGTTGGCACTGAACTTTTACTTTGAACTATCTAAACACAGAAGTCGTCAAGAATGAAAACAGGTGTGATATTTCCATGCAGACACCCAGGACTCTTGTTCTATGAGTATCAGTACTGAGGCTTAATGGAGCTGCTTTACACATTCCTGTCGTAACAGCCAGAACACCCTCAAGAATCCCTGATACAGCAGAGCTCTTGACGTTTTTCTCATGGACCACTGTGTTCTACAGTATATCAGTGGTTCTCTGTCCACTTAGGGACCCCTGTGTCTACTGGTTTTCATTCCAGCTAGGCCACATTAATCTCTGCTCGTCACTGGTGCCTCTGACTGATCGTGCTTGTTTGGTCATTTTTTTCTGCACTCAGACCTTGGTTTCAAAAACACCCTTTAGTACAGTATGTTTGAACAACTGAACTTTACAGAACCTTTATGCAGTTTCTCTTCTACTGTAAATAAAGAATCTGCTCCTTCATTTCTGACTAAAAATACTCCAGTTTTTGGTGGCCAGTTTATGATGAGCAAGTGTGAGTATTTTTCCTTGTTTCTGAGTTGTCAACTGTCTTTCCAAAGTCTATAATTGACCCCAAACTGAAATACTTCCTTAAACTAACAAAGACTTCTATTTAAAATAGTAATCGCATCACTCCTTGTTAAACCAGTATCTGTATATTTGCCAAATTCATTGAATGCTGTTAAATACTATCAAATGTTCAATATCAAATGTTCTATCAAAGCAAATGTTCTTACACAGGTCTGTAATTTTGACTACAGAGATAAGGCGAAGGTGGACTGTAAGAGCTAAGGGTAGATGACACTAAAACTTCAATATAAGGCAAACTTGAGTTTGAGCTAAGACACATGACGTGTTGCAATGAATGCTAAAAAGGTAACATAAAAGTTCACACACTCAAACAAAAAAGATTGTCCATTCACAGCTGTTCTGATAGTGATGTGTCTAACTTGGGTTAAAAATGTCAGTTGTCATATCCACATTCTTTGCATTTAGTAATAAAAGAGTATTTTAATTTAAATGGGTAAAGATATCAGCTTTATGAAAAACAAAATGTCTTTCCTATGTTTGTTGAAAGGATTAGGCAGGTCGTTCATCATTCTGATTTGTACAATAAATGTAACGGGCATCTTTTGTTGATCCTGTATTTCATAAAGATTTCCACGTTTCTCATTTAAAAAAAACTTGATTATAAATGTTACAGAATGTTACAGAATTGCATACTTTTAACAGCTTTGCTTGCATCAATGCTACAAAACTGCTATTGTCTTTCATGTTTTACAAATCAGCAATCAATTACTGGATGAACAGTAAACCCTGGCGGCTTTTAAAGGAATATTTTGATTTAGCAAACATAGTTTACAGCCAGCAAAGCATATTTAAAATGTTCTTTAAATGGTTAAGTTTATTAATGCCAAATATGACTTCCCCAAATAGGAGGGTATTTCTTTAACAGTTTTAACAAGAGTATTCTTAGGTTTATAATGCAGAATTTCTAAGCACTAAAAGAACATGAACAAACAAGTTGTGAAAATTAATTACTGAAGGGTGTGTTAAAAAATGTAACCAGAACTGTTACCATTTCTGGTTTAATCAATCATATATAATACATTAGCATTTTAACATAGTTTCACTGAAGTTCGACAGAGTTAACAGTTGTGTAGAGTGCATTCCCTGAGCCTATGTAAAAGTTTTTTTTGTGTGAAGTTATTCAAGGTTACAATACTCTTTGAGTCTATGTTTAGTTTAGTGTTAGAGCTTATGACAATTGTGTATGTAGCATTAAAAGAAATGATAGTCCTTCCTCTGTGTAGTGTGCTAGCCAATTGCAGGGTATCCCTACACAACACTTTCACCTGTTTAATACTCTGCCCAAAGATATTACAGTAAACTCCCTCTTTTTTGTATGCAATCCAAGATGACCATAAACGCCTTGTTAATGGCCATTTTAAAATCAGATCTTGTCACAAAGGACACTTAAGGACAGAATTTTAAAATTGTAATTAAATTGAAAGATATTACACTAATCCCTTATTAAATGAGCATGTACTCACTTAAACAAGCAATACACATGCATATCTAATTTTCTTACTCGAGTAATACAAGCTCAAAGATTGCATCTCATTCTTCAGTACATTTTTTTTCTTCTCTCAGCTGTTGTTGTTTTCTTGTTGTAACTATATTAAGAGACTTTATGGGTTTTATACTAGCTATTGTGTAGAATATTTTTCTATCGATCTGTTTGAAAAAGTAATCTTCCTTTTCAAACAGATATATCTGGCTTTATATTAGCAAAAGCTACTTACCATTTATATCATTTTTTGTCACTACAACAAAACTCAACATATTCAAATATTTGCAAAAAAAAACATTTCTGAACAATTTATCTCCGATTCTCTGTGGTGAAAATAAGCAGCAACAATTTTACAAGGGTGTAATATTGCGCTTATGCTAATCTTCTTCATAGAAGTCATTTGAAAGAAGCATATTCTATAAATGCCTGAAACATACATCCATGAGTCAAGTCAAGAGGACAAGATACTTTTAAAGCCCCTTTTACTCCACTGTGACTCGTTAATTTATCTTTATATAATCTTTGTATATTTACATGTATGAAGCTTAGCCTTTTTCAAAGAGACAGCCATGACCTACATTTAATATGTGCTTGCCAGGAGCAGGCACAAATGGAAATATCTGGTAGTTTGATCTCTTACAATCATACAAGGCCTGAAGCGGGCATCTGTGCAGAAGGCTGATATTTAAACCACAGGGTGCTGAAATGCAGCAAATCTAGACAAACCCACTTTGTAGTTTATTTAAATAGGAAAGGATCAGTACCTAAATATTAGTTGTAAATGTGAGCATGCAGCACTGGATTTTAAGCCCAAAGACACACCACTCATAGCAGAAACTTTTGTTTATAATTATATAATTATTATTATACATTTCTAAATAACATGTATAGTATTCAACACAAGCCTGATATTTTTGTATTTAAAACTCTCAACAAATTACAAACTTTGCTTGCAGAAAGTATAACCTCCACTGATCTTTGTTTCCATTTAGGTGGGGCTAAAGGCCAGTTAGATTGTTTTAAAAACCGGGTTGTGATGATGGGGCAACAAGAACAGCTTTGGTTTGCTTCAGTGATGCAATAATGGTACATTTAAAACATACTTTCTTAACAGGATGATTACATGGAAACATTGCTTTTCTTATAAAACAAAATAGATATTCTCAAGGGTCACATACATGTCTGGCATCTGTTGTTACTCATCACTTTCTGACTCTTCCTCTTCACCCATCTGGTAGTGCTGCATGCTGTCCTGGGTCGTGTACATTCGGGTTTTCACAGGACAGTTGTGATCCATCAGAATAGCCTGGGCAAAAAGCATTGAATGCAATTAATTAGGTTATCTGGTACTCTCTTGTAACAAATGGTTCAGAGTTACAAAATACTCCCATTTCTCCTCCCTAGTAGCTCAGTGAATGCACAGAATGGGTCCCAGTGCAGTGATAATAATAATAATTGCTTACACTTTTTTCTTTTTTCTGGACACTCTACTCAAACCTTTACAGGTAATGGGGACTCCCCTCCACCACCACCAATGTGCAGCCCCTCCTGGATGATGTGATGGCAGCCATAGTGCACCAGAACGCTCACCTTGGCCAGGATGCCGGGGTTACACCCCTACTCTTTTCGAGAAACACCCTGGGATTTTTAAAGACCACAGAGAGTCAGGACCTCAGTTTTAAGTCTCATCCGAAGGACAGCGCCTGTTTACAGTATAGTGTCCCCGTCACTATACTGCGGCATTAGGACCCACAGAGACCACATGGTGGGCACCCCCTACTGGCCCACTAACACCCCTTCCAGCAGCAACAATAGCTTTCTCCTATCCAGGTCAGACTCACACCTGAGTTTCAGTGGGTTGCCAGTAGTGAGTTGCAGGGTGACATGGATGCTGACAAGGACTATTGACCTGCTGCTGCTCTGGACTAGAAAAAGTCTAGGTGGGGAACATGTACATTATGTAATTTCAACATAAAATGAAACAAACTATTACTTCTGTGTACAAACTAGACTTAAAAGGAATCTTGTAACAAATCTACAATTAGGGTTTGAAAGCTAAAAATCAAGCCAGGGTATCTATCCCCTATTTTTCTGTGTGTTTTACTGTATTTCTGCTTTCCTTCAGCCAAAAATGCAAGATAACATCTAAGACCTGCACTGTTCTTCAATACAACGTCCTTTGCTTCACTTACAATAGCAAAGAAAAACAGAGCCACACAGAGCAAAAATAAGCCAGACAACTTTTACTTGTCCCTTTGCAGCCTACGCATGCTGATGCAGCTACCTACTTGAATTTCTAGGATACTCTATCTTGACTAGGCCCATCCAGCACTGGATTGGTGCTTTACATAATTGCGTTTAGCCAGTTGTGTGCCATCAGTTTGCAAAACCTTGTGACAGCTGGGGTTTAACATATGCCAGCAACCGAGTTCTTCACCTTCCTAAAAGCCTGTGGTCTGTGACAGAATCCTACGGTGCCAGCCGTATTAAGGTCCTGCTGATGTCAACCAAACAGACCCAGTTCTTACCATCTTCTCCTCTTTGGCTGGCGGACTCCTCAGAAAGAAGCAGAGGGGTGCAAAGAGAATGTCCACAATGCCTATGATGGTCATCAGCCAAGGAAATCCGATACTTTTAGCAATGGCACCTCCCGCTGAGGGACCTTGACAGCATCAACGGAAACATGAGGAAAAGCCCCTCAAATTAAAGGTCAAGCAAGAAGCCACTGCAAGCAAGGACACTGTGATGTAAGTACATGACATTGATTGTTTGGGGGGTTAAATGGTAGTACGACATTACTTCCTATTTTTAGCACTTAAAATGTACAATATCAATTTACTGTTTTATGTTACAAAGAAAAACCTATAGCATGCCCAGTTAAAGATGATTATTTTGCTCCCTTTCCTCCACAGTTTTGTTGATTATCACAATGACACAATCCATTCCAAGTAAAGCTTTAGCACATTTTGTACATATATGTACATATTGTACATTATCCATTATATTGTATTTATAGAGCATCAGATCCTTTGCATTCACTTCATTCACCGGTTATCACATTTACTCTACCTAAACCTAAACTCAAAAATATCTGTTCACATGGCATTATGAATGCAATTGCTAGTGCATTGTTATGAGAAATTGTGGCCTATGAGTTTTGTGTTATTATTGCTATGATGTTTTTTTCCCTTGGAAATTAATTGGGAAAAAATATCATCACAAAATAATACATTACAACAATTGCAAAGTGGCAAGATTTTTTCATACCCTGTAGAGCTGCCAGACTTTTACTGCCATTCCAGTTAGCTTCTCACGAGGGTATAAAGGAACATTTGCCAGCATTTTTTTGGTTTGGTCAAGGTATACCTGTGAAGTGTGGTTATACTCAGTAGTCATGAACTCAAAATTTTCCAAAACATAATATCCTGCAAAAACGTAAGATAAATAGCTTTTCTCTTGACATCAAAGTTAATAAAAAGCTTTTTAAATGTTATCCGAAACCAAAGAATTGACTTACCTAAAGCAAATCCCATGCAGAAGGCCACATCTGCTATTGCGTACACACTCCCATAGACAGAAACATGGCGGAGGTCAACGAGGTAACCCATTATTGGCATCATGGAAGAATCAACCATCCCTGTTGAGAGGCAAAGATACACAGAAATGTATCTCCTTATATTACACAATTGGTGGAGGTCTGTTATTCATTGGGGTGGCAGCAGGAAAGCGTAGTTGCCCAACAGCTCCAGGTTGCTGGGTTCAGTTCTGACATCAGGAGTTTGGCAGGAATTCACATATTCTATTTGAAGCCTTCATGGAGCAGGAAAGATTTTGGCATTCTCTTCTTTTTAGGCAAGTTTGATTTTTCAGTGCAATTCTGTCCACTAACTAGTACATTAGGTGGTAGTGATTGCTTGAGTTACATGGTAGGTTTTCTAAGTTCTTTTCTGCCATCAGACCTTTTGTGCCGATGTCAATGCGTAACATTTACAGTATGTCTTCGTCATGAGTAAATGGGCAGGAGTGCTATACAATGTTTTCCTGTTCTCTAACACTTTATTTTAGGGGTAATAAGGAGGCAAGTATTAATACTTTAATACCTAAACACAGCTTGTTTAGTGCTAGTTCATGACTAATACATAATGCATGACACTATCTTGAAACGTGTTTATGACTGACAACAGTTAATAAGTACTTAGCTAAGTATTATACAGGGTCTGTCCATCATTTGTTACTGTTATTCATGAAGACTTGACTTACAAATTACTCCTTAAAAAGATTTGTCATTTGAAAATTTGAGAAACTATTACAAGAAAACATATATCAGAAGCAAATTACCCCTATACCACAGCTGAGTTGTTTCATAGAGGTGCATCAATCTTTATGCGTTTTGAGATACAGGTACAGTATGTGAATACAATTGTTGCAAAACAGCACATTGTACCGATTTTCATTTAGTGAGTATGTGTCAATTTTTAAAAGCCTTGAATGCTAATGATTTTAACATAATTCTTAAGATACTATTATAAAAGCCTATTACGAAATATGAAAGTGAGTTTAGTAAATATCTTTTGGAACATTAAAGAGAAAATTAGATACAGATGAAGATGCACAATAAGGTACATGGAGCTGTCCTAAAACGAATTGTGAATTTCAAGATGATGTGAGCCTAAGCTGTAACAGATTTTATGATATAGGGAAGCATGCAATTAGTGAGTTTTCATGCCTCTCAACTTTAGAATAATAGAACAGTCAAGGATAGCTTACTCACCAATTGCAAAACCAACTCCAAAATTAGGTACAATCAATCCATAAATGTTTTTGGCAAACGGTACCTGGATAATACAAAAAGGGCCACATATAATTAAGGAACATAAATGATGGAAAACTAACCTTTTTGTCAGCTACATTGTAATCAACTCCTACTGATAGTTTTGAATGAACCTAGTGTAGGCAATATAAGTAATAGTTCAAAAGTCCACAGTTGCGTCCTCAACAACTTTGGAACACAAAACCAAAATTTCTGACTTAACTGAGGGATTTTTTTAATAGCTGTGAAAACAACTCTTATTCATTAAATGAGCATTTACCACGGCAAGTATCTCAAATGAAAAGACTATATCAGGCTACTCAATAATTTAAATGAATTCAAGTATTCAATAATAATGCCAATAGAAACTGCAGTATATTTTTATTTTAATAATTAGAACCTCTAACAATGTCAAGTACTGTACCTTCCACGTTGTATACAGTGTACTGAGTGATTTAGATTTGATTTGACAAATTGTGCATCACTCCTTTGGCATTGCTGTTAACTCAAAGAGGGCAATGTGGAAGAGATGGAAGTGAAACATCACTGAATCCTGTTACAGGGAGTTTGTCCCAGTGCTTGAGCACACTGCTCAAAGAATTAATTAAATCAAAAGCAAATAAGGAGAACATCATTTAGTCTGTGAAGTAGAGCTCCTTCTTGGAGGTGTGTAACTGCACATCATTTACACCTTTACATGATTTGTTTTGAGTTAAATAATGGCTCTAAACTGGTCTGTCATACACAGGACCTTGTTAAGTGTTCTGATATTTCAATAGTTTGGAATTGCTGGACTATATCCTGTCACACAGTTTGTTCAATATTACAGTATGTCATTTGTTATATCATCATGAAGGCACTATTGTTTTTAGCTCTTTAATATACAAAACAAAAAGTAAATATTGTACCCTCTCCAGTCTAGTTACTCCATATATGCATCCTTCCACCTTCCAGATCTGGGTAATCCATAATTCAGGGGCCACAATTCAAACATTCTGAAGTGTTTATCTGAAGGAAGTGCAGGTTTCAGAACAGATACAGTATGCAGAATACTTACACATAAGATACTTATCCCCACAAGTAGCATTCCAATGAGAGAACACAGCCATCTGTGAGGGAGTTAAGAGTTGGTAAGTAACTACCAGAGACAAAGTGATCGACCAGAATTGTTATTGCACTGTTCACTCTTTAGAATATTGCTTTTCAAAGATTAAAACAGACCTGGCTCAAGATGTGGCCAGGGGTCCATTTTTTTAAGGATAATATACTTTATTATTTAGGATGAAGGCACAAAGTAATCACTGTCTGCAAAAATATAGTCAGAAGTACTTGACATAATATTATTGTTTTGCTCTACACTTTTTCACACCTGTTATGCAGTACCTAAATATGCCATCAGAGTAAGTAAAATGCTAACAAGCACTCAGGTGAAGAATATAAAAAATACACAGATTGACAAAATATATAAGGATGGATTGGACAAAATGAAACTCAACAAAAAATGTTTACCACTGTATATTATGAAGTGTCTTAGAATAGGGCAAACGGTGGACACACCATCACTCATTGTTAATTCCTCCAATTATACAAAAAGTGCCATAATTGCTCTTGTCTTACACCACACCTTAGTTGGTATTGAAAGAGAATTAGAAAGAACCAAGCTGGAGCTTGTGCAGTTTCACAGCACAACAATAAAAATTAGCAAACAGGCCAATGTCCCTGCGAGTCCCCAGGCAGTCAGTGCCTATGACTTCATTACAGAGGTTCTGCAAATTTCCTGACAAAATAAGAGAGAAAGTGTGCTTTGCTGGTACAGAAATTGAAAGGGATGGTGAGGAGATGATAAAAAGTGCAATTTCCCATACCTGCCCATTTTGTGCGCAAGTATACCAAAGATGTTGGTTCCAATAAGATAGGAGATGCTAGCTGGTAGGAAAGCGACGCCTGTCACAAAATAATAGTGAGATAACAGGAAATATGTTATCAGAGTCTCAATCCACAGTCTGTTATGAAAGGAAGCAGTGCTCCCAGAGAAGTATTGATAATGGTTCCTTAGACAATGCGCACCATACTCTGCTAAGAATGGCACTCTCATTTCCTGCTTCTTCTAGATCCACTATCTGCATCTAATGAGCTGCACACCATCCACCTTTATAATCCATGAATCTCTGTATGTTCATGGAACCCATGGATTCTAGGACTATTACATTAGAAATATATACAGTATATACCATTTACAGTATATTAGAGCGTAATTATAAAATGTGATAAAGTATTTAGATTTTTCAAATGATATAGTTTCAAATGACAGTCTTTTAAGTTGCATTTTGGAATTCAGTGCGTTCATCTATTGTTCATCATTAGCTGAAGTTTCATTATTACTGTATAATCAATTCCTTGGTTTCTAATAAAATCGAGGCCCCGCAAAGGATGAAATCAGAATTTCAACCAACCTTTCAAATTTCAAATGTCAAATGACATTTTCAGTTTAACAGACTCTTTTTGGTCTGAAAATTTGAAGATGGGTGATTTTGAGGCTCTGATTTCTTCCAATCCATAGACATAAATACTGGTTTCTAACAAAGACATCAAAATAAGGTGGATACAGGTATAAGACATTTGTCTAAACATTTTTATTAACCTTGATAGCATTTAAGGAATACTCCACAAAAGCCCCTTGGCAAAGGAACCCTACACCTTCAAGGATTAATCATGCCAAGTGTGATGGAATAAAATACCTAGCTGCCACTTCCTTGAGCACATCGTCTCCATCATCCAAATTGGTAACGCAGGCTCCAGCATAGCAATGGCCATATTTGCAAAACAGATGGACCCTAGGAATAATGTAATTGATAAGTGTTAAGCCTTTTATTTCACCCTCTTTCACCAATCTCCACTGTTGTCTAAAACATGAAACGGCCTTTTTCCGACATAATACCCTCTATTAGCTCAACCTCAACAAACAGGCTGATAATTGATGTGGTGGGAGGACTCACTGGCACAGATGTGTTTCAGCACTTTAATGGTAACAAAATCTATTCTGACGGTGAAAGCCCAATTAAAATCCAGTTTGCTTCTTTTTTTCAAATTTGGGCTATTCCTTTCACGTTGAAGGGCTAGACCTGTTTCTGTGCTTTGTGATGGAGAATTCAGCAAATTAAGATATTTTCTTTGATTTTGTTTTTTTATTTAATTTTTTATAAATACCATGCCACATTTGAAATAAATTAGAGTCACAATGTGAAGGGTTAGTCATTGTGTCAGAATCTATGACCAGTTTTTTTTTTTTTGTCCTGCTCATCAGCCCTGCTCCAATGTTGTGGTTGGCAGTCTTACCTGCAGCAATCAGAATGTAGGGATCCTTCAAGAGTTTCAGTAGCGGGGTCCCCTTCTGACTCTGTAAAACAGCAACAAAAAAGAAAAGAAAGGGAAGCGAAAGAAGAACCATATTCACTACAATGAAATATGGTAGCTGAAGGTTCTGTTGCTTACAGATCTAGTTTCATGAAGATGGACAACTAATCCTTGTGATGGAAGGGTGTTCCTTCAAATAAATGTTTGTATTAATAATAATAATAATAATAATAATAATAATAATAATAATAATAATAATAATTGCTTACACTTATATAGCGCTTTTCTGGGCACTCCACTCAAAGCACTTTACAGGTGATGGGGACTCCCCTCCACCACCACCAATGTGCAGCCCCACCTGGATGATGCGACGGCAGCCATAGTGCGCCAGAACGCCCACCACACATCAGCTATCAGTGGGGAGGAGAGCAGAGTAATGAAGCCAATTCATAGAGGGGGATTATTAGGAGGCCATGATTGGTAAGGGCCAATGGGAATTTTGGCCAGGACAAAGTAGGGGTGTAATTTGGCCATTACACCCCTACTCTTTTCGAGAAACCCTGGGATATTTAATGACCACAGAGAGTCAGGATCTCGGTTTTATGTCTCATCCGAAGGACGGATTAAACTTGAAAAAACTCGATTAGTTTTGAACAATTGGAGAGATGCTCCTGCAAGGAGGCAAGCTGAATTAATAAATGTTCATCAGCATTTTTGAAGAAAATAAAACAATGGGTGGAAAGCAAGTTGCCACAGATTGTTCAGAGCAAAGAGGTAGGCTGTTAGTTGGATGATGATCCATAGCACCTGTTTGACTGGGGTGATGTGCACATACTGTAGATGCTGTGTTTTTAATTCTTTATGTCAAACAAGGGCTTCAATTTCATCTGGCTGTTAGATGCTTTTGCTCAGACCACAAGCAGAGATGCACAACACAAGCTGACAAAAGGGAACGTATGACTAACAAGATTGCTGCTTTTAATTATAGCCATTATCTTTGGAAGTGTTGATGTTTGGTGTTAAATATCAAGAATGTACATGATAGTTTAGAATTGAAATTCTCCAACAAAAAGACACATTCTATTGGTTTGCATCTAGTGAAGGTGAACACAAAACCGTAAATATCAGAAATTATTTTTTTTTCCCAGTACCTCTGATTACTTAACCCTTGCTAGACCTTCTCACCTGGTGAACTCAGAACATGATTATTAATTACCGCTATCCAACTAATTCTGCACAGATTTTGTTAGCAATTTTCATCTTGCTTCAACAGGCAGAAAAGGTTGGATAGCTACTGAAGAGCTGTGCCTAATTAATGAGGAATTGTTCATGTAGTGTTTCTGCTACAATGCAGCAGCATCTCTGCACTGATTTCTAAATGCAGTCGTGAGATCTGGTATTTGTGTGCTAAAAGATCTTACAGTTTTCTTTCCAATTAAACTCTTCATTGCTCAATTAAATTGACTAAGACTGTTTTTTTTAGAAAAAAACAGTGCATTTTCAATTTAACACTTATTTTCCAGTAGTAGGTAAATCTGACCAAGTATATCAAGTATTTCTCCGGTATATTATGGTCTTTTCACATTTGCATTGTAATTAAAAAGTATTTTTAACATCAGTACAGTTTTATTTCTTATGATTTACCATGGAAATTTCAGAATTTACACTGATATACAATAGAGCACAACAAGTGCAAATAAAAATAAAAATAATTTAAGATTTGTGCAGAATAATGAATGCCGATTTTTGGTCATTAGCAGTATTCCGTAGCTTTAAATAAGTAAGAACAAGTGACGGCTCGTTCCAATTAACATTTAAAAAAAAACATCACCTGTGCAGAAGAATATTTATCTCGCACAGCAGAATAGAGAGGATGAGGCGGCATTGATGTACTGTGTAAATCTTTAACCTTTAACTTTATATTGTATAAACTGAAAATGTGACAATGATTGGATGATATTTTGTGTGAAACACAAATGTCTCATTTAGTGACGTTAAAAAAAGGCATTTTTTAAAAAAAAGATAGTTGTACTTTTACATCCAATGAATTTGGGTTGGGTGAATTAAAGAAGGAGGTACGATTTTCTTTCTGATATCATTGAAGTGGCACTTACTTCTGGCTCTGCTTTGGAGGGCTGGAGAACAAAAAGCTGGAGAGCTGTGAAGGGAGGGTGAAAAAAATAAGGTTGACTCAGGGAAAAAAGAGAGCACATCTGTGAATGTGAACTGTTATTAAACTAACCTCCATCTAGCAAAGTCAGTACAGCTAAGATCAGGAAAGGTGCAGTCTTCCCCACAAACTCATACATCACACTGCCAAATGGAGGGCCAACTAAGAGAAAAAACAGAACAGCAATGTTTTTGGTACTCTCCATCAGTATTGAACATTTCTTTGATTTATCTACACAGCCATTTGCAGTTTTGGTTTCATTAGGCAAACTGAACACATACATCAGTAGAAATGTTTAGTTTTATACATCTAATCTCTGTGAGTTGAAGTTAAGCTTTCCCATATCTTTAATAAACAAACTCCCAGTGAGAAAAAGCCTGCAGCTAAACTGACCATTACAGTTGGCCATCATGACCTTCTTGGATATATGGTAATTAAAGTTATTAGCAGAAAAGGGATTCAGATGTGTCCTTTCAAGTGGGTTGTGCCAAGACTTTAGGTCATGTTTGTATCACACAGAAAGTAATATATAGTACAAAGTTATTTTCAGAAGGGAATACTAGGTCTGAAAAAGGATAGTTTTGCTTTTTTATCCTCAGTCTTTTATAATTGATGACATATGCTTCACATTCTCTTTAGTTTCTGAACATGATTGTGAAGGTGTATTAGAGCATTGTACCAACCTAGCACTCCCATGGCCAAACCTCCTAGTGCAATCCCCATGGCATTGCCTCGCTCTTCATCATCAGTGTAGACACTAGCAAGCATCCCCATTCCTCAAAACAAAGAATGCAATTCAACCCATTTTAAATCTGCCATCAGCCAGCATTGCAGCCAGCACCAGAGTGTCAGACACTGAAATTTGGTATGGCTGCAGAGCAAGAAGCGGCGCATGTTGTAATTTAGTGTGCCATATAGATATTTTTAAAATATTCTGCTGCTTAAATGAGCACTGTGCATCATGATTATCATTGTGTGTTTTTTCTCTTTTTGTTTCTGTTCTTCAATTATTTTGATTAGTTCAGTCTAAGCCTTTTATATGACTTTAAAGTGACTGCCAATCAGTATACTGGTGAGTGAAGCTTATCAAGAATAATTTAGTGAACTTGAATACAACTCTTTAGATCACTGGTTCTCAAACTGTGGTCCGCGGGCTGACCTAATCATCTTTCTTAAAGCAAGTCTACGCTGTTTAAGTCAGAGGAAAGAATATTGTAGCGTCCGCTACGAAGGGGCTCCCCCTAGGAGCACTGTTAAAAACTGCAAGCTGTAAATAGTGGGTAAATGTGTGTTGGTTCTAGGTATCGGGGTTTCACCAACTGTTAAGGGGACTGTGCGGGTCAGTCATGGGGCGAGCACCAGCCTAGTTGTAGGCTTGGCTGGCTTGAGGGTCTGCTGAAAGGGCAAAGTTTCCAATCATTCTCCTTGGCTGTACCCTTCTGTTGCCTTTGTGTTTTAATGAAGCTTGAATTACGCCGGATCACCTCACCTCTTCATTCTCCCCATCAGCGCCTATCGCTTCAGTGTTTTAGTTTTATGCACCACGAATGAAATTATGTCACACATTACAAACGAGCCAGTTTGGCGACAACGTCCTTGCCGCCGTGCAGCGGTCTGTTGTCGTTAGTGATGCACGAAAACCCCGCACCCGCCCGACCCGATTTAAAATAATAGTGAATAGTGAAGTACTGACCCGAAGCCGGTCCGAACCCGCTCAATATTTAAAACAAAATTCGAACATACATTTGATCAACATTTATAGAAACAGCATATCCAGATTCCTTGTTTTAAACAGACTTAAGTAGCCTCGTCTTGTGACTGTCATTTTTGTAAAGTGCTTCACAATTGATGCAGATAACGTAACATGTGCTTTTTTCTTCTGTTGTGCTGACTAGCTCGCCAAACTTCTCCCACCTGGCTCTTTTTTCCCCTCCTTCTTCCTTATTTTTATCTCACCGTTCTGGAGTTGTGTCCTGATCTGCTCTAACGAGGTTGCGATTATGTTTGTTTTTCTTTGTAATACACTGTTGTCTCTTAGCTTACGTTTTCTACCACTTTGCCTTGTGATACAACCAATTGGGGCTTAAATATGGTACAACGTCAGTTTTAAGAATTAAAATCACTTTAATTTAATATACAAATGATCGGTTTTTGCTTTTGGTCATATATCAACCCACATCCGCCCAACCTGATCTAAATTTCTTTCTGAACCCGAGTCAAACCGCCCATCACTGGTTGTCGTAATTGCGTGGTTACGCTGTTTACGTTTTGATGTTAGTGTGGTTCGACCGTTGCTCTTACTATTGTTCATACCGTTTTGTTCTTACTTTTGAATATCTAGCTTTTAGTTTGAAAGTTTAAAGTGTAATGTAAAGGAGCAGTCAAAGCCGAAGGGTTATTATGGATCACTGGCTCAAATCTGGGACTTTGAAACGCAAATATAGCGAGGATAGTGACAGCGCAAGGGCGAGTAAGCGCAGGACAGAAGTGAAAATGCGGTTGAGGTAATTTGTGAATCATACCAGCCGTGCTGTAATTCTAATTCCAACAGTTTGATAAATGTGATGTGCAAGGAAGCAGAAGGTGTGCTTGATGTGATGTCTTCGTGTGTTTCCGGACATGAAACTCAAGTTGTACAGCTTGGATCCAGATATCAACTTCTCTGATTGCTCAACAAAAGCAGCTCCATTCTTCACATTACAGTTAACATTTTAAGTAATAAAAACATTTGCAAAACATGCAGCTTTGTTTGTAAAAATGTTAGTACTTTTCATAAAATTACATTCAGTATTAGTTATTTTTAGTACATTAGTAAGTGAAGATTTTTACAGGGTAAGAATTGGATGTAGGCATAGCTGGTCCATCGCATCTATGACGGTGTAAGTGGTCCACGGACCATAGAACTTTGATAATCACTGTTTTAGATTATATAGAATTTTGTTCCCTTAAACTTGCATAATGTGGAGATAACAATGCAAATATAAATGGAAGTGGAAATATAGCATTAGTATATTTAGTATATTAGTATCTAGCATTAGTCATTCTGATCCTGGTAGTAATTATTAGCAGTTATACTAGTCTTCACTCCTTTATTTTTTCTTCTGAAGTGAATGTTCGAAGTGGCAACTGTTTTTTTTTTTGTGTATACAGTACCTGCTGTTAAATAATTAGCTATATTGAAGCTCGCCTTTCAGGTCCATTTTCTGTTCCAAGAACTACAAAAACCCAATATGCATTGATAATTCAATTTTATTCTAATAGTTCTTGTGTATTCAAGGTGTTCTGCATTGGTGCTTTAAAGACAGTTTGTATTGTATTGTAGCATTTTATAACAACCTTATGTACCCTTTATTACTTTCTCATAGTTGAACGCCTTCAAAAATTTTATTTTGTTCTATATGGGTGCTTTATAATTGGAGTTGCAGTGAGAAATGACTCACCAGCAACAGAAGAACAAGAAGATCCAATTCCTTGTAGAGATCTTGCCAAAAACAGCAAGGTGTAGCTCTTTGAGAAAGCAAACACTAGATAACAACAATATAAAAAAAGATTGATTATTAATAAAGTGATTATTAAAGCATATCAACCTAGGCAAAATTTGTTAATCATCTAAACAGGAAACGGTAGGGGTAACTTACTGATAGTGGAAATGAACATGATGCAGAACCCAGCAAACATTGGAATCTGATATCCTATTCTGCAAGGAAACCACAAAAGAGATGCCTTCAAATGACATTCAGTTTGAACTTACTAAAAGGACAGAGTACTTCAAATAAACATCTGATTACCCACAGGACGTCAGTAATGCTGAATCTTGCTGCAAATGACATGAAGGTTAGACATACTTTTCCTTAATTTTGTTGAAGTAACTCCTGATGAGCTGTTTGTTTTAGACTACTGTTTTCTCATATGCAGCCGGTTTTGATTCATGAGACTACAGAGTATTCACGTCACTCCAAATCTACAGTAGTTCCTCTAATCTCTAAAGTAATGCAGCGGCGAGTTCTGTTCCCCCCAACTACATGTTTCAAATTAGAGAGTTGGTTATAAACACAAACACAGACGCAATGGAACAAGTAATGCTCCAGTGCATGATGCAATGGCTTTTACCAATAAGGAAAGGCAATTACTTATAGGAAAAGGAAGATCACAACAGACAAACATGCCATTCCATCCTTTACCAAACAGCTTGTTTTTTGCAGGGTTGCAGACTTGGGTCCTTCACTGCAGGGAACAGGATTGGGAGACACCATATAACCTAGCCAGTACACGTTTGGACGGTGGGAACATCCAGTCCAAGCCACTACAGACACAGGGAAGAAAATGCAAACTCCACACCTTACATATCCCAGTCTGGAATCAAACCTGTGGCCTAAGAGCTATAGGACAGCAGCACTCTCTCCTGTACCACATCATGGTGCCTCTGTCATTGTTCAATGCCAGTTAAAGAGTCAAAATTTAGTCATTAATACAATTCTGCATTTTGAAAAAGCATTTTCATTAAATCCTATGATTTAAAGTGACTTTTTAAAAGCCACATTGTGATTCGTGAATGTTTTTCCATTTTTGTATTTACATGCTAGCATTCCTGTGCAATTTCTGCTGAAACAATGAATTTTCCGAGGTTCTTCAGATCCACTATAACAGAACAGAATGTATTCATCATTATCCAATTCCTTATGTTCTCTTTAGCTTTGAGGAGAGCTATACTTGCTTTATGCAAAGGCTTCAAGAGGTGAATTGCCTGTTCTTTAGTGTGTGAGTATGTGAGGCTGTTGCTGTCACGATCATCATCCCTCTTCTAAAGGGCGCTCCGACCGTTTTGTGTTAAGTTCACTATCCCGCTCACCGCTCCCCTTGTTCCGTTCTTGTTTTAAACCTGGTGCTCCAGAACCTTGGGGCTCTGCGTTGGAAGACAGAGGCCCTCCTACAGTAGCTTCAAGTTGCCCTACGTCTGTGGTCTGAGGGCATTGGCTTCCGATCGGCTTTCCGACCCAGCTGAGTCCGGGTCCTGGCCTCGTCACTCCGTTTTTAATTTCCTTGTTCCTTGTCCCTGTTCCTGTTTTTAATCGTTCTGTCTTGGATGGATTCTCTGGTTTTGGATTTTGGACTGCGCCCCGGATATTCTATATTGGACTGCTTTTGGACTTGTTTGCCTGTGTTCCCCTCCTTGCACCTGGATTCACTGTCGGCACCCCCCCCTGTTCACCATCCCTTCCATTCCTGACTGTCTTTTCCCATTAGCCCTTTTACAGTCACTTCCGGACTATACCGTCTGCACAGGGTCCTAAACTATGCATCCTGACAGTTGCCTTAACTGTACATTCTTTAGGTTCCAAAAAAACGTATTACATTAAAAACATAGTAATTTATAATACATTGAAAACAGCATTACCATAGGATACACACCTTAATACATACTGTTATAACAAACAGAACATGATTCCTGATCATCACATTGTGTTGATGCACTGATGATTTAGAAATATGCAGGTGAGCTTGCAAATACCAAAGAAGGATTTAATATAGCGAACTGTAATGGGAAAAATAATTACTTTTATTGTAGGGTAACAGTTTGCCCTTTAAGCTATATAATAAACACAGATCTTTTTAACAGCATCAAATAGCACACCATTCATATCATACAACATAATGGACATCTCTAGTTATCAGTTCGAGCTCTCCATTGAATTAACAAGCAAAGGTGCCATACTGTACTTTTAAGTGTTAAAATCCCATAGATACTAGTAAAATGTATTGTAATGCAGAAGCTACAATTACCACAATTGTGACAATCCATAATAATCCATTATTGAGCTACATACCTATTGGCAATAATAGTCATGACACAAAAAAGCATAAAGTTACCCATATCTTTAATCTATACAGTTTTCATATTACAAATAAGGCCAAAGACTGTTTTCAAGTCACCTACCTGTTTGTAAGTGGTCCAATGAAGGGATTAGTCATCAGCTGCACTGTGGCTTTGGAGGCAAAAAGCAAACCAACTTGCACATTTTCATTGAGAAGATCCTTGTCTTTTTTGGGGCAGTCAGACTCTGGCTTTGTGGTGTTGCCACCTAGGCTTTCAGTTGTGGGGTATGTATAAGCCCCTGGCCTTTGTGTGGTTACTTCAGAGCCATTCTCAGTCAACCTTGTGGAGTTGTCATAGTAGGAGAAGATAGTGTGAAAGTTACTTGGGGCTCCTGGGGTCAGAGGAGAAGCAGTCTGGTTCCTTACAGGGGGGGCTTTGTGTTCCGTAGTATAAATGTAGCTTGGAATTATGGGCACTGCCAACAGAGGACAACAAAAGAGGCAATGTCAGTTCAATGCTGGTCAGCATCACCATGTTAAAGTACATTATGACAGAAAATTGGAATAGATATTTTGTAGAAGATTGCAGCTTCATCATATATTTAAGTAACTGGATAATAAATCACATTAATACGAATAATAACTTTTGAAGTACTGTATACATATAAAGCTAGACATATGTAAAATTTGAATTGTTTAACTTAATACTGCCTGTATGAATGTTTAAAGTCATAGTCACTGTGATATAAGTTATTTAAAAATAGGCAAAAAGAGTGCCTAATGCATTGTCTCTGATATACTAGTACAGTATGTATTTCTCCAAAATATTGTTTTCCCTGGTGAGACTACTTTATTTTGTCATTTATTATTCATATGGTTTATATTTCCCATATCAACTATGAAAAAAATAAAAGAGGTTAATTTAATAGGTTTAATAGGTTAATAATAGATAAATTTACACTATTCCAAACACTTAGTCTTGAGTAGTATTTCCGTAAACAAATTTATAGGTGGTAAAATGTTATATTTTCTTGTTTATAAACTTTTCTTGCCTGCTTATTATTATCATCGCTTTGTTTAGCAGTACATTTTAGAGCCCACCTGCACACCTCACGTATAATCCAATCAACCTGCACACCCAAGATATACAGTCATATATCAGACCCACACTCCTGACATATAATACACCAGACCTGCATACCCAATTTATAATGCACAAACCTGTACAACCCATGAATAGTACATCAGACCCGGACACATAACATTTTTAACAACCACTATAAAAATAAATCCCCAATGAAACAGGAAAAGAATAAGGTGGAAAGAATATAAATCACTGGAGAAAAAAACACTGGGTAAGTGAGAATGATTAAGAGCATCCAGATGAAGGGATATTATATTAAAACTTTCCTACTTCTCTCAACGATTGAGTAATTTCTGTTAAGAACATATGATACAGAGCTTTGAGTGAAGTGTCCAGAAATGTGCTATATAAGTGAAAAGAAAGTATTATTATTATTATTATTATTATTATTATTATTATTATTATTATTATTATTACAGAGAGAGATGAACATGTGTTAAAAGTAAAACCGAGTTTCCTAATAGAACTGCAGTCTCTTTTAAAACATGTTCAAATATTTAGCTAGAATCTGATCTTTATGGTTGGTTTGAACAAGGTCCTCATGCCTGGCATGCTTCTTCTCTTTTCTCCCTGTCTCTTCCATGTGTTTTCTCCTCCCTCTTCTCTCTTTTCTTTGCCTACCTGTCTTTTATTGTGTGTCTCTGGGCTGTTAATGACATACCAAGAACTTAAATAACTAAGGTAAACCAGAAGATGCCGCTTCATCTATTATTATCATAACATTCACACTCCCTACTGATCAGCGAATACCTCCTCTGCCGGCTATCATTTCTGTTCATTTTTTTATTTTATGACTTTTATGACCATTGTAACACCCATAACAGTATTTTAAATTAATCATCACATAATAAATAAAGAGGCTTGCCTGCTTTTATGAAGTTCTATACTTGGTTTCTGTTTGGAGTGTGGTGTTGGACAAGCATAGTACATGATATATTTTCTATATTCTCTAGTTTAGTTTCTACTAGATGGAAGATAAGTGAAGTTTTACAACACAGAAAATACAGCTTACTATCTTCATGATTTCATCAAATTGATATTTTTAGCCTGAAGCAGGGTTTACCTATTTCCTTGCTGTGCATCTGCAATAAATTCTTTCTCTTCAATTAAATCCGGCCATATGAAACAAATTGTTCTGTATCCTAGTAACATTTTACATTAGAAAAGAAAAATTAACATCTGAAAAAGACTTATTTGAATGGGAATCTTTCTATAATAATTTCAAGTCCATTTGGACCAATCCACGTAATATTTTTATCTTTTGCATTCATTCATCATGTAAGAAAAACCTTTGAGTAATCCACTTCCAACAAATATTTAAATACCAAAATAAAAGCACACATACTACGACTTTATTCTCAATGTATTTATCAGTTTAGGAGTTTAAGTAGGGCTTGTTATTATTGCAGGTGTAGATGTAAAACGTAAGAACAGTTTCAAACAACATGAGGCCATATGTTCCATCCGTTTGGTAGTTATCAGCTAACTGATCCAGTGATCACATTCAGTTGTTTCTTGAAAGAAGCCAGGGTATCTGCTTCAACAACATGGCTGGGTAGTGTGTTCTGTACTCCCACAACCCATTGCATAAAAAGTGCATCCTGGTCTCAGTTTTAAAAGTACTTCATTATAGTTTCTACTGGAAACCTTTTTTTTCACATTTCAATGTTTATTCAAATTCTAATTTAAATTCTGATTAAAGCATATTAGGTGGTATATAAATATACAATACATTTGGCAAATGTATTAGACATATACAGTACTCTATTTGTCTGCATAACCATGCTGACTGTTTTTTAGAGCAAAATAATAGTGATGTGATTGCTGAGCATTCTGTTAATTCTAATCCTAACATAATGTTCCTCATTTAGGTAAGTCTCATACAATTTCAAGGAGCAGTTCAACAATATCTTTTTGTATGATTGTGGCATCATGTGTTGATGATGTTACTGTACATTAATCATATCGGCATTGCAGAGAGAGAAACCAAGGTCAGGCTGCTCATGGTCAGGTTATAATGTGGGGAGACTGACTGCCTTTATTACACCCTGGGTAAACAGTGTTGAGTAGCTAGTCAAAATGAATGTGCATGACTTTGAGAGGAGAGAGGAAACCAGAATGCTGACAAAAAACATGTAAACACAGTTATCACATACAGTATATACTGACACTGAAGATCAGAATCAAACCCAGAACCCTAGAGCTATGAGGCAGCAGCACTAACCACCATGCTATACTTTTACAGTGATGGTATAAAGATATGTGTACTGCCAACTATATTCTGGGGATATATGTGTAACCTGACCAAAACACTTATCACAAAAGTGCCTGATATTGCAGTGTGACACATGCCTTTGGTTTTTGCATTTGTTTTATATTTTGAATCTCGAGATTGGAAAACAAGTTTCCACAACTGCTGCATTTCCAGACAGGAATTTTCTTAATGGAAATATCTTAAATAGATACTACAATTATAATTTGTACAGTTTTATTTAATATTTTATTGAATACCTACTCTTTTCCACAAGACATTGTGAAGTACTTCATTATTTTGAATATAAATCTAATGCTCAAATATAGTATATAATATAGAAATCCTAAGGAAAGTGCTTGTTTCTACATTAAGCATGGATACCATTTAGCAAACCCAAACTACCACTGAGCAGTAAGGTACTTCAAGCTCTTTAGGACACTGTGCTGCAATTATATAAGACATCTAAAGTCTCTGAGTCAGGGGCATGAAAAGGTTTAGTTGTTAATAAAATGATTTTCTCAGTTAATACTTTCCCCTCCTATAACCACTCTTAATCTTATTAGCTGTAGACCAAACTGTAGTTTCAGGCAGTTTCAGTTTGCTCAAGGCTTGAGTTTTTAGCTCTGTTTAGCTTTAGTGTGCCAAAGAAATAACAACATTGATGTTACTTCTATACCTTTGCACTTTTTACCTATTTGTATTGATAAGCATAATTTAATTTGAAGACTGTAATATCAACCTGCAGCAAGAAATGTACAAAAATGTAAAAAATCCCATTCTGTTTACACCCACGGAGAGAGAACTCTGGGAAGCGAATACTCAAATGTTTATTACTCTCTGTGAAAGTCCAACTGGATATAATCTCTTCAACATGTGACAACTAATCGCTCTACTATTCATTCTTTCTGTGGGCCTAGCCATAGGAAATTTACTGTACTTCTTGGAATTTAAGATGCTTAGAAATATTATTTGCACAACTTTTGCAAGTTTTGTCTTAATGAAAATTACCGTCACTTGAGAGAACTATACTCTTCTTGATCAACACACACCTAATCTGAGGCTCCAGAACAGAGCTTTCTGTTTTTTTAATAATACCACTTGCATGAATTCCTACATCAACATAGTGATAACAACCTAGAGAAAAAGAGAACAGCTTGAAAACCATGCTTCTAAAAACATTTTTATGTGAGTCTGAGGTATTAAGAAAAGATAGTGTGCATGTATTACTTCCCATAATAATGAAAGTTAAACACCGCAGCTAAACTTCCACAATAACACAATCCAAAGTAATAATAATGCGGAAAAAGTCATTAAACTGAAAATATGATGCCTGAAATATTGAAGTAGTTATGATTTTTTAAATGAAAATATTAGATTTTGTCCAGCCTTTGCATTTATCAAAGCTTTCTTAAGCTGGAATTGTAGCTGTTTAAAAATGTAAAAATATGAAATGAAATGGTTAAAAACAAATTTTTATCGGTCCAATGAAAAAAGAATTATGGTCAGAATGAAAACGAAAAAATGCAACAAATGCATATTCTAAGCAACAGAATTTGTTGAACTTTAGTGTTTATTAATTTATTTAACAAAGCACAGAAGTCAAACTTAAGAACTGAAGTTAGAACAACCCATTGTTTCTAAAGGGGATACAGTTTTAAATCCACAAGTTTACAGTTATGAACTTGATCCAGGCTTGTCATTAGCCGTGAACGAACTAGTTAGCCCTGAGGTGATTGAGTTGCCTGTCCGGATCCCAGATAACATCAATGAGGCAGTACAGGAGGAAATGAGAAGTCAATGCTACTTCTGCCGGCCAGGATATATGGGAAAATGAGATAGAGGCTATTGGAAGAACATATTTTTCATACATCATTAAGCTGATGAGAAAAACTAGTATATCTGCTTTGTAACTGGATTTTGTGTAATGTGATTATACTATTACTTAATTTATATTTATATTTCTTTTAACATTCACACTAATAATAATGTTAACTTTCTTGAAAATCATTTAAAAGCATTTTAAAATAAAGGCATTAGCATGATAATTTGTTCTGTTCTGTGTGATAAGGTCGGATTTAAAAAAGACTTCAGCCTATCATGACTGCCTTTACAGTAGAACATACAAAGGGACATCCAAGTTACATTTTGTCAGCTATATACATGCTGTAACCAAAATATTTTACAACATATGAATACTGTACAACATTTCAGTTTGAGGTCATCCTTATCAAAGGTATATCTTTACACACTCAATATAAGAAAAACTAAAGTTTCAAAATCTCACAAGGTTGTACCTACTGTCTGGTTTATAGGCAACATGTACAGTAGTTGAAAATTAAGCTTTCTTTCAGTTTTTGCACCCATTTAATATATTCTAAAAACCAGAGGTTTTGCACCAACAATCATGTTTTTGTTTCACGATTGTTAGGATGGCACCAGTGTTATCGTACTGTCGAAAACAAATCTAATATGCACAAACCATAAGCAGTTTCTGCACTGGCTTGAAGAGCTTTAAATGCTGTGCTTGTCCACGTGAAAACAGACACTCCTCTAACCTGCTCGTCATTGACCACATCACAGGCCATACTGGACGTGCAGTGTCTATTGGAGGAGAGAGCACTGCATGCCTGCAAGCACCCGGGAGACCACAGGGATCACTTTATGGTTGGGAGCTGAGAGTCCTGGCCAACCGGTACCACCCTACCCTACCCTGAGGTGAACAGATCATTTTACTGGCAAGACATACAGTACATGCAAAGATACAGAACCCTGGCACTTTCAATAGTGTCAGCAGGAATCTGCCAGCTGCAGTGCACGTTTCAATCGGGGCCACCTGGAGTTAAATTTGAGATCACTTGCTGTGAGTTTCTCGCCCAGTAAAATGGCAATTTCAAGCTCTTAATCAAAAAACAAAAAATAAAGGTAATAGAAGGAACTGTTCACCTTAAAATTAAAGGTTTTATTTTGTATTATGATGTTTAACCCTTTATATAAAGATAACTTTTAAATCCATGAATTAACATTCAACATAAACTACAAGAATGAATTGAATACTGTAAATAATTTATAAATCCCAAAACAACGGCCCTGTCAAAAGAGAGTTGTTTCTAAACATGAATAATTAAAAACTACACAACCTCCTCATGGGTAAACATGACCAGGTTTATTGGTTGCTTTATTTATCAAAGCTGTAGGCACTATTCACAGCAGCCTGGTAAAATGATGATACTCAAGTGTACACAAGCAGTGGTTTGTAATATTGTCCAACCACTCTAATGTCTCAATGAGCATGTGGCTCCTGCTGTTTTCCTCTAAGATGGGATTTAAATGTAACCAAAAAATACTTTAGAAATTATTGTTGTTGAATAGCAGTGGACTGCAAACCTAATAAGCTCCCTCCCCAAAGGGTGTCAGTTTCACACCGTGCTTATGCCACAGACTACAAGATGATATGCAGGATGACAACAATTAGGCAATAAAAGCTCCAGTGCCAAAAGGTTGGGTCTGGTATCTAAATATTGTCTAAAATGTTGTTTTAACCTTTGACAGTGAGCCTCACCTCATTAAGATGCTCCAGGGGACGTCCTGATAAGCTGACTTGAACTGAAGCAGAAAAAGAACTAGAACACGGAGGTGTACAATATTACTGAGGCTTCAGTTAATTAGAGGAGAAGCAAAATGTAAAAAAGTAATTAATTTGTGGCAAAACCAAGATGGTAACAGAAATGTATAGTACTTAAACCCCCCTTAAAAGATCTGGTTTAATAAGGTTTAAAACATTGCATTATAATTATAATGGACAAACTGCAATGTATTCCAGCTATCAAAAGTACCATAGAAATCATTAGCACGTTTAAAGCATACTGTGTCACCAAGGGATCTCTTGAGGAACTCTTGGGCACACATGACATTGCATAGCTCTCAGTATTCTAAGACTTCTACCCAAGAAATTTTTAACGATGCTCCTGCAGGAGCATTTGGAGTATAAGGTATTTTTCTCAGAACTGTTATGCACCTTAGTTGTTAATGTGGTACTGAGCATACTGCTGTGCATGTTTCCTTAATTATGAAAACTTTCTGGTTGACACAGGTGAGCCTCTTTAAGAAGCCAGTATTGGAAGAATTGATTTCAGGCCTCAGTGTAGTTTAAGAATTGAGAGATCAGATTAGTTGATTTTAATGGAATCCCAAGATGTTACTGGGTTTAGGAATTCAGCTGTGAACTGGCTGCCTATACAAAGGAGTCAAACCACAGTTCTGATGCTGGGAACTTGTTAGGCGCTTCACTTTAGGAGAGATGCAGATCTAGAAATGACAAGGAAATAGACAAGCAAATACCCAAGGCTGTCCATTCCATGTCCACTGGAAATCATCCTCAATCCTTAACAACTGGAAATAACCCAGCAGCTTCTGAACACAAAGACTAACTGAAGATTCCTTGAAAGATTTCACTGCAATTCTCAAATTCATTTTGGTCAATTGCGCCTTTATCATCTACTCTGAGATGTAAGTTTTGCTATTTGATTTTCTATTTAATAAGCTGGAGAATACTGGCACCTTCTCAAAAATTACAACAAAGTTATCAATAATAACTAGTGACCATATTCACTGGATATCGCATACTGTACATGTTCAAACTATTTTATCAGCTTTTTAAGGCTGTTATGTACTGTTCTGAATATGTCTTCAGTGCAATGCCTTTTTTACCAATTATTTCTGTTTTAAAGGTCCAATCATAATTTATACAGTAGTCTGTAATTCTTTTACAGCATATCCTAATATATATATTATATCTAAGTAGAATAAATGATAGTTATTATGCAACTAAAATGCATTGCAATTAATGTGGCATAAAACCAAATCTCACTAAAGAGATAATTAACACTGCTTAATAAAAGTAATCATTCAGTCAATTCATCCTCTACCAGGCAGCCACCATTCCTTGTATAAGGGTCACAGAAATCCAGTGTTTCTCCTGCAAACTCTAAGGTAGAACTATACCATGGAAAGAGCTCCCGTTCATCACCAGGCATGAACACACAACTTTATAGGCACCAATTATCCTAGCTAGCATGTCCTGGAAACTCGACATGAATGAGATCCAAAAGTCATTTAGCACGCCACTGTACTGTCTCTTCCAGATAAGGTGAATATTGTATATACTGTACAATGGGATGTATACTTTTTTTTCATTTAATCAATTAATATTGGGCAAAACAAATAATTTAGACCAGATTCTGTTCCTTATTCAGTGCAATTTAACACAAATACAGAAGTCTGGTCTCTCACACATACTACCAACAGAGTCCTTTATATTCATTTAATATTTATTTCCACTTGTTATACAGAGATGCACAAAGAATCTGCCAGTACATGAAGCTTGCACATGGACAGATCTACGGGTGTTTTCCCCCATAACGGTTAACCCGTGCCTCTCTATAGCCTAAATTAAATGCAAAATAACACGTTTATCTTTATAATTCAGTCTGAAAGTCTTAAATGCAATTCTTCACAATTGACACGACACATTTCCACGTAGGAAACTATTGAAATGCAAAAAGATATAAACAGATATAAACCAAAAATGTATTGGGAACTTATCGTAATACTTGTCAGAAATGCAGGATGCCGTTTAAAAACACAATTAAAGGAATACCATTCAGCGTGAGTAGTGTAAAAGCCACTGGGATCACTGAGCTACCCTGGCGAATGTAGCGGTGTAAACTCAAAGCAGAAACAATAAGAGGACAATAGAACTATAATTAATTCTAAGCGCATAAAATGTATCTAACACTTAACAAATAGACTTTATTGTTTTATCGTTATGTACTGGTTCACGGTTACTTGCAACAGGTGTGGTTTCAATGCAGGGAAAACAAGAAAGCATGTCGTTCGATATTTATTTAACCTTTGTATTGGCTTCTTCAACCCCGAACCGTCTCGGTAACGTTCAAGGAACGGCAAAACTCAAACTTCGTGGTAGATGCAAAGTCATAGGCATACTTCTAGAGCAAACCTGTTAAAATGTTGAAAACTAAGAATGCTTCCACAGAATTGCATAAAAACGCTAAAAGGGATGGCGTTAACTTTCATGCAAACAAAATAGTTACAATGCTATTTCTACTGATCTTTACTTACAGTATTACTGCTTGGAACACAAAGCATGTAAAACTGGTGAATAGAAAGGCTAGGTTACAGGTATCAGAATGCTAGAAAATTCATCTCAGCGCATATGATCTGTTATTGTTATTTTCTCATATTTAATGGAGAAAAAAACACTTCTCCACAATGCTTATTTGTAGTCCTGAGAAATCTGAAAAATCCTTGCTGCTAGATTCAGTTTATTCATTAAACGTTTAAATACAATTTCAAAGAACCCCACTTTTGTAACATTGAATCGCCCGTCACATAGTAAACTATGCACGAAGTAATTAACGCACGTCTACGGCAGTGAAGGATATACACACGGTAGACTTTAATTGTATTCTCTTGAACGTGAGATGTTATGGTGCACAGATCAGATGAAACCGGTACTCAGACCGGGAAGAAAATACTGTTGTAGTAATTCACTTTTACGCCGGTTTTGTAATGGTTTTGTACTCAACGGTTTTCTCCATCCATCCAAAACCTAATTCTTTTATAATCCCCACCTTTTACAGATGGAACTGATTTTTACCATTTAGTCGAAACTCCCCCAGATCATTTTCCCGAATGGCACCATCTGTCAAAGAGGCGTGAAAGTTTATTTTCCCTCAGTAAACTAGGGATAAACAGTTTTGACAAGCCGTACATACCGACTACGGTGAGTAGCATGTTATCCAGAAGCAAAGCAATGAAAACGATCAGAAGAATTAGCTTCCTGGACTGCCTCCCTTCCCTCAAGCATCTAAAAAGACTGAACTCCCGTAGCGTTTCAAATCCACCCATCTTGTACAGTCCGCTAAGGAGATATTCACTCTGCAACCAAAAAGCATTCGTTAGGTTCACTCCGCTCACAGCTCATTCTAAAAGAACCAAGCAAGGCAGCCAGACAGTTTAAGACCATCGTAGGCAACCGAAAGTGATTATTTGCAAAAGGCAGTCTTGTATAATAAAATAGAAATAAAGCAGCAGAACATTCTTAAGATGTGTTTCAAAGGTTACTTTAAAGCTTTATATTTACAGAAATATTACAGATGGAGTTTTGTATAATCGTTTTTCACGATCGTTTCGTTTAATTATGAATGTAAAAGTCATGTAGTTGATTTTTTGTGTCTGTTTGTGCTCCTATTTTTTACGTGATTTTTTTCTTAAGACAAATTAAAAACATGTAGTCCGTAAATGTAAGTAGTTATTTAACAAAGCGATTATACTTCTGGAACAAATAAAAAATCAATATCAGCAAAGCCACTTGGATGCTATTTGTGTAAATGCAATGTAAAGCATCTTACCTTGAATACAATCCGTGAACATTTAAAAGTCACTTTTGGTTCTCATTGCTTCTCCAGAGGCAATAAAAAGAAAGAAATATTGTAACTGGGGAGGTGTAGTTACTTGTCTAGGCTCTGACGTCATAGCACCCTTATCATTCATGACAATGATCAGCATTGCCTGCTACCGCAGGAGCTGCATTGAAGTGTGAAGCGCAGAGATCACAGAGGCGGCTCCAGAAATAATTATTAAGGGGGCTTAGCGTTTGAGGAGTGGAACCAAGGTGAAAATCTGGGGTTAATGTGCTCCGATGTTTGCTTAGGTACTATAACAGTCGTCATCTCTGAAAGGCACTAATGCAGCAGATCCTGTATACAGAGCGCCTAAATGTTTTTTTTGGATGAGAACGTTAATCAATACATGCTAAATCTGGTCGCACAATATTACTACTAGGACTAAAAAAAACATCTTGAAAAGTGAGTGTATAAATTATTAACCCAAAATTAAAACCAAAACATTTCTTGTTTTTTTTTAGAAACGATTTGGATGTGATTTGGTCATCATTCCATGTAGAAAACGTATAAATTGTGGACATTACGAAAACAACACTAAATAAACTGGACTGAACAGTAACATATAATTAAGCTCTAGGTAAAACCCTGGGTATTATGCATCAAATACATTGTTTTGATCAGTTTTCAACATATTGAAACCGATAACCTGACTTTTAAAGGCAATATCCTGGCCTATTTCAAGAAATCTTTAAATGATAATAATAATAATAATAATAATTCCTTACAGTTATATAGCGCTTTTCTGGACACTCCACTCAAAGCACTTTACAGGTAATGGGGACTCTCCTCCACCACCACCAATGTGCAGAATCCACCTGGATGATGTGATGGCAGCCATAGTGCACCAGTATGCTCACCACACATCAGCTATTAGTGGGGAGGAAAGCAGAGTAATGAAGCCAATTTATAGATGGGGACTATTAGGAGACCATGATAGGTAAAGGCCAATGGGAAATGTGGACAGGACGCAGTTCTGTTCTTCAGAAATGCACATTTCTTCAAGTGAAACCCACAGTTTAGTCAGCTTTGAGCATTAAAAAAATCTCATTGTAAAACTGGTCACATAACAACCAACAACACCTGAAACAGGCTGAAATGGTGAAAATATTTTTTTCAAGGAAACCAATAATATCTCATGTAAAACATGAGATAAAAGTTTGTGTGCATGGCAGGATATTATAAAGTCAATATAATTTTCCTCCAGTCTTCCTCCATCCATACACTGACACAATCTGAAGAAAAGATCTGTCTTTGTCCCCTTTCATGCTCTTGCAATGATCCCGTTGATGCTCTGTGAAATGTGCAGTCCTTATTATACAAGCATAAGCATTCAAAGTCAGACATTGTAAGCTGGCTCTAAATCTCTTTGGCATGAGTATACTCCATGGTCAAGTTATACAATAGGTGTGGTGTAATTGTGTCTCCCATATTTCTGTTGTATGCTACAGTACGTTTCCTTGGTCCTAGAATAATGATGTGATTTTACTAAAATCAGGTTGTAGTTCTGTAATAAACAAGGTGGGCTGAACAAACATCATGTCTGTCATATTTTGTTTTATGTAGAAACTGACAGACCACATTTGTGGCCTACTGTGTACCTGCATCATCCTCTGTGCCACATATGAAAGGCTGTTGATCCAATTACTCAAGGCTGGGTTTTTGCAGCAGTGTAGGTCAGTCATTTGTAAAGCTTTGAGCTTTTTGACTAACAACATATCAAGTTCAGTGGCCTATTCTTTAATCCCGTTTTAATCTTTATTAATTAGCATTACAATATGTCACAATACTTTATTTAGCATGAGACCTACTTTAGTTCTGTCTTTCCTTTTCTTATGTTTTGCTACTTACGGTCAGATTGTCATGTGCTTCAGGACTGCACTTGCTGTGGAGCCCTTTCAGTGTAGTTCAGCTGTATAATTAAAGCTGGTTTATCTATTCTATTTACTCCATAAAACTAATAGGTGATGAAATGAGAATTTTATTGTTTTATTAGTGCTCAAGGAAATATTGTGAATTGAAAAAATGAAATATAAGAAAATACTCAGATGTCACACAATAGTTAAAAAAATACAGTTTGATAGCTTTCTTGTGAGGACAGGTCAGTTCAATGACAGACAGATAGATCATTTTTTTCATTTAATGCATTGTAATATCACCACAAGTACTAACAACTAATCCCTTTCATATTTGTTGTGTAGAAATTCGAGCGTCACATCTGAAAATACTAGCAAGAAAATCTAGAAGAATTTTATCGATGCTAATCTTAGTGGTTTTGGCAGATGAGAAGAGATGCTGTGGTAGAAAAGACTGTGGTCTTCTATATGTCTACAGTTTGCAGACGAACAACAAATGTCACAGAAAAATAGTTGACCTTTGATCATTTCAAAGCTCTCACTGCAGACTTACTGTGTACACTTGCTACCTGTGGGCTACACAGTCTGGTAATGGACAAAGAAACTATTGTAACAGAGTGCTGTGATGCAGATTCTGTAATGGGCAAGTCTGATGTACAGTACAGTACTACCGACATGCTGGTCCACAGATATCATGCCTTTCATTGAGAGATGCCTTGTCATAGCCTACGTAGTGAAGGAGGTCAAAGTGTAGAGATTAATTTTCATGGACTGTTAGCATTTATCAGCCAGCTTTCAATATGTGAAACATTTGAATCATTGCAACAGACAAGAACTGTAGGTGACTTTCCATGCCTTCCAGAAACAAGATGGGCTTGTGAGTGGAGAATTGTTTCAGCAGCCAAGCAAAATTTTTAGTGTATGCTAGTGTATGCTTGGACAAAACTGCCGTTCAGAAAATTGAAGGTTTCTAATAGAAGTGTTTATAGCTAATGGTATTGCTAGTTTGTGTGAGTTTGAATTTCTTTTGTGTATCAGTAAAATGCTCAGCAACGTCTTGCAGTATGCTCTGCTTTATCCTGCACATGATACCAAGCAAGAGATTAGTCAAAAAAGATGAGAAGTTTAAATGTTTATGGAAACTTTGGTCAGACATGGCTGATTTGTATGATGACTGCATTTCTTTAGAACTTCCTGCAAAGAAAACAGAAGAGACAAGATCTAGCAGAGTTTGTGTTCTCTGAGTTACAAAAATTCTGAGAGCCACAAACTTTCCAAATCTTTTAAATTCACCTTAGCTAACATTTCCATTACTAAGAGTTTTAGTTTCGAAGCCTACTTTACTGCATTAAAGAAAGTAAAATCATTTAAGAGCTACAGTGTTGCAATGAAGAATTTCAAGCTCGATATCTATTTTGTCCAGTGCAAAATGTTAAACTCAAGAAATGTGTTATTCTTAATTTTTCTTATCATTAATTTCTCTAGCAATTTGAAATTTTGACATTTGATTATTTGAAATTTGTGAAATTCAAATATTAAAACTGACATTTCATGCTCTTTTTTACTCCTGGTGTTGATATAATGTGGTGCAAGTCAGCACACGTTAAGCATATTGAGCTCCTCTCTTCATTATTTATTGAAGCTGCTCCTGGTATTGGTGAATAATTTCTAAATAACTGAGATGAATGAAAAGCAAAAGAGAATTGAATAGGATAAACTAGTTCACTGTTATTTATGGAAATATGCTTATTTTTCCCATCTTGTGGATATACCTCCCTCATGTGGTTGATGTCATAACTACAGTTGCATTGCCACAGCTTTTCAAAATATAACACTACTGTATAGAATCACAGTACATAAGCTTTGTAGTTGCCCTCCCTCCTAACATTTTAAGTTTTTGAAAAGGTGAGAAAGCAAAGTATGAAATAATTGCTATTTTGTTTTCGAGAAATCAGCTGTAACCTACATTAATCAAATATACTGTATGTGCTGTCACTTTAGTGTTTGCCCACAGGAAACACAGCAGGTGAGGTCCCAGAACCTGATCAGCACTGTGCTGCACAGTCAGGATGCCATCAGTCAATACAAGTTGAGTTCTGTAGCATCTAGACACACCTACTTAGACCTCCTCATTGATCACTGACAGTGTATTTACCTTGCCAGGTTACAAATTGCTTGCTGTGAACAAACCAGATAGAGAGTGATGGTCCTCTTACTTACAGTAGTTCTACCTCCAGCATACTGAAGGTACAAGGGCATTGTTTTCTTAATAAGTGGTACATATTGATTCATTTCTGTATTAATCACCAGGCTTGACTTCCAGTGGGTTAAATTACCTCTTCAAATGTGCCCAGTCAGCCATCTCAGTAATGAGCCAATATCTGTTACTCATGTAACAGTCAGTCACAATGAATGATCAAGCAATCAAAATGACATGACAAACTTATCTTAAAAATCAGAATCATAAATAAAAATTCTTAATATAGCCAGATACGTAACAGAGTGCTAGGTTTCTTCTGGTGCTCACTACAGTATACATACCGGCACCCATCAACAATTCTAAAGAATTTCATAGGTGGATCTGAGACTGATGCCATAGTTGGAGGAAGGAGGGTTTTGATTGATGACATGATTGATACATATTTCTTGCATTAAGTATTCTTTTGATTATCATACATCTGTACTTTCCTTTGCATGAAGCCAACTTCATCTTCAGTGAATTGGCAATGTGTGAAGGTTATAATAGTTACATGTAAAAATATATATATTGCTTTTCACCATAAACGATCTCAAAGCTCTTTAGATATAAGAGGAGACCCATTCAATCCATCTCTGAAGTCGAGCACCCATCATCTGGGTAACACACAGTATCCATTATGCACCAGCATTCATACACAGGACAACATACTGTATCTACTACAGAAGTGATAAATATAGAAATTCCCAGCAGGAGATTTCTTAAGCATAATTTATGTATACATTTTGGAATGGCATTATTTCTCTGGGTACCTTGTTTTCTGGTGATGTGCTCTTCAGGTCTTGGTGGCAGCAAATACTACTAAAAATTTAAAATTAACTTTAAATTTGCACAGCTTTGTCCCACACAGTTTGCCCACCTTAACACGTTCACTCATGACGTGAATGAAGTGTTTTAATTGGTGCCCCATGATACAGCAAGAAGAAGCAATGAGACACAACAGAACAGCAGTGAAATGTGCATTTATTCTGCTGTATAAGGACAAGCAAAGAGAACAAAACTGTTATAAGGGTATCACCTTGACGTAATTTCAACTGCAATGCAGACCTGTTCGTGGACATTACAGATCTTCAATCTCTGCATAGAAGGAGAAGAATTCACTTACAGTATGTTGTTTAATTAAAGTGTGAGTTCCACTCCTAAGGGTTTAGTGATAAGATGTAATGTGTAAAACTGGGAATCGTTCTGTGTAACAACTAGAATGCTGTTATATCCGTATTTCTCTAAAGCTCTTCAGTGCCTTATAACCATTGTACTATTTATCATAATTACATGCACTTTATGTTTCTCTAATGATCTCTTTACTTAACATGACAAAAAATATATATAAACACATTTCTGTATCCGGATCTGAACAATCGGAAATTATATAGATTTTGTGTATCTTAGATTTGAAAGTATCTTGACTTGTGTTCTTTACCTTTGGTTAGTCATGTATTTTCCCCTTGATTTTTGTTCAATCAAGTTGATTGCTGTTGTACAGTATATCTAAGTGAATGAAACTGCACCTTAAATATTAATGCAGAATAGATGCCTGCAATTGAAAGTAAACGGGCATCATATTGTAATGAATGAAATCAAACTCCTAGCAATCAGGTGCTTAATATTTTATCTTAGCAAATCTTTCAATAGTTAGGAAATTTAAAAGAGTAATGTTATATGGAATCAACTGTATTTTTATACTGTACACTGTATTTTTAAGCCATCAAAAAGGCCATAAGTTAAAGGTCTTGATTAACCTGTGCTACACTAGACAGCATAAAACTGGAGGTAATTAACAGTAAATAAATGAATAAATCTGGCGCATGGTTTTAACAAGATCAAATACTGTTATTCAACTTTTTTTTTCCTGCTGGATTTTGATTATTTCCACATTATTGATCAACACAGCAGCTTTGTAGAACTTCTTTTCAAACACCTCTCTCATTTTTTCATTGTTTTATCAGAGATCTATTCCCGGATTATAAATATTATATTATATGAGACTATATTATTATATATTCTTGATTCTGACGAACAAACCAGTTTTATTGAAAAACAACTATAATCAATAATGAAACCTCATCAAAACTGAAATGAGAACATCTTTAGCAAAGCATCATTAATCATTTGCTGGAGAGGCAAATGGTTGAAAAGGATACTTTGTGTGTTTGGTAAATATTATACAGCATGGGATTGCTTTCAAGCTGTGACTGGATGCAATCCTCTTGTCATTTATCTACTACCAACCAAATATAATTATGTGTAACCTTTTGGATGTTCTTGAAGATAACTGAGATGATCATGAGCATTGAGATGCTAATCTTGCCAGAAAGATACAGTAGGGCCACTTGAATGAAGTTTTGTTGCACTTAAGGGCCTAGAAGGTTTGAAATACTAAGATGGGCTAACCTCCCTGTGTTATAGTAACCCCAACATAGCAAACCAACACAGCAACCTGTGAATAAGATCTGCTCTCTCCTCAGAGGGGTCAGCATCTACTGGTTAGTTTCATCAAGGGTTAAGAAGATTTGGATTAGCAATCAGATCAGACTCATTGATCTTCACTGCTCTTTATCTCAAGTCATGGTGAAGTGTGTACTTTTAGAGTCTTTCTGAAAAGAACAATGAAACCCGCCATTTACTTCATTTTCCGAAAAATCCCCACGCCCTCACTTCGGCTTTTGCTAGCCTTCATTTACCAAGATGAATCTGGATTATTGTTTGTTAGAAAGATAGATATATATATATAGAGTATATTTCCCTAGAGGTGAAATAAAGAAAAACTCAAAAACAAACAGGTTTGTTCTTTAACAGACAATACCTTTACAGGTAAAAGCACAGCACTGGTGAACTCCCCTGAGTTATATTACGTTTGTAAGCATTTTGCCAAATTATTCATGCAATGAGGTGATAAATCCACCTGTATTCCTATTGTGGACTCATTTTTAATTACATATTCACGTTTTTTATTGCTACAAAACTAGCAATAGGCCTCCACATGGATTTCCTAGCAACTGTCTCAAACCCTTTCACCTTCCTTCATCTCTTCATACTTCTCCACCATCCCACCACTAATGCACCTAATAAACCTGCGGTGACAGCTGATGATTCGGAACTGGCCTAGCTTGAAGGCCATAGACATGATGGCCATTCCTATGATGATGAAGAGTGATGTAAGAAGGAAAAACTTGGGATGATTGGGCACTATGTCGCCGAAGCCAATGGTGGTCAAGGTGATGAAGCAGAAGTAGAAGGCATCGAATGTATTCCAGTCTGTCTCCCAAAGTGGCAGAGTGAGGGCCCCAAGGAGGATGTAGGCAAAAACTACCACCAAGATGACAGCCATAGGCACATTAAGCTTGTCCAGCTCCTCACCTATCCCAGAGAAATCCCATATGGAGAACCCTTTGGGAGAGGCCATCTGGTTGAGCTCAGGACAGGAACAGCTGCGCTTCAGAGGACCAAAGGAGAATTTTTCTTTGGCTATGATTTTGTCAAAGATCTCAGCATAACGCAGTTGCACAGACTTGCGTGTCACTGAGGACTGTGTACGAAGCACATGCTTTATATCCATGGGTTCCCTGATGACCACATCTTTGCTGAAGTTGTAAGTCCGAGAGGCAGACTCCTCCTTGGACTTCCTGTCACATTTGCCCAAGCTTGTGAGGCAAGAAGGGAACCTGCACATCTTGTGTATGCGGTGGTATGTCTTGGAAAGTAGGATAGCCAGTATGTCACCCACATCTGTGATGACAAGAAGCATGAGGGGAATGCCTATCATGGCATAGAGGATACAGAACACTCTTCCTATCAGGGTGACTGGATAGATTTCCCCATAACCTGGAACAACACAAAACAACAGTTATCCTTTTCAAACATGGTTTAAAGAAATTAATTTAATTAATTAAGCTCTTATCTCTTATAGTGAGGGGCAGTGCTTTATTGTGCATTACGTTTGACAGCAACAGAAAACGTTTTAAAGATTTAGATCTTTAGTAAATCTCAGAAGTTATAAATGCTTTGTTGCCTCCGGATTTAAAAAAAGAACATTATCTCAAATTATCTGACAGAGTATTTACAAAATGTCAAGATGTAATGCAGAAGTATAACAATGCACAAAAGAAAGAAATGTTCAGGGGAATAGCTGCGTCAGCATGCGTAGGCTGTGTCACGCCCGACATCCCTCCCTAGAGGGCGCTCCACTGCTCTCATTATTGTTCGTGTCATTTAGCTCTACAGGTGTACCCTTTTAGCGTTATTATTTAAAGACCAGCTCCTCCAGTCCTCGGGGCTCATCACTAGGGAAAGCTGTTGCGAGGCCCGCCTAGCACCAGGAAACCCTACGTCCGTCTCCTGAGGGCATAGGCCTCATCCCTGACACCTCCCGCTTCCTGAGCCCGGGGTCTGGAGGATCTCGCCCCGTCACCCTTGGACCTCCATGTTCCGTTTGTCCGTGTGCTCCCCCCTTCCGGGGATTTTAACTTTGTCGCGTTCCAGGATGGATTTCCAGTTTATGGACTTTCGGACCGTGCTTTGACCTGCTCTTGGACCCGTTTGGATTTGGATGCCGTTTTGTCTTCCCTGTACACTGTCTCACGGACTGTCACTATTATTTTGTGCACTATTAAACCCCTGTGTGTTCCTTTTTACCACGCCTCCTGTTTTCTCCAACTCTTACCGCATCGCATAGGGTCTTCTACAAGATCGGACACGGATTCCAGTCCGTGTCTGTTACAGGCTGCAAAGGAACAAGTAATAGGTTTATTCCGTGCTGAAAAATTTCCGTTCTTCAGGTGTCAAAGAAGAAGGCTCCACAGCCGAAACATTGTTTTCTTTCTTCTTTTTGTCAGCGTGGAATAAACCTATTGTTCCTTTGCAAAGAAAGAAAAAGTACAGTTTGAGAACTCGGATACTTATGTTGCAGGCAACAGTGACACCTACTGGTGATAACTGGTGTTTCTGCCTAGCGTTCAATTATCATCATTTTTATTCACATTATATGAAATATAGACGGAAATTAAGGTAAGATAGATAAAAGTGTAATAATTTGCGGCTTTATTGTAAGCCGACAATTTGTGTGCTAGTTAACTCTCAGTGCGTTGGTCTTGGCAATGCAGCCATAAAGTTGATTTATTCCGCTGGGGGTTACTTTATGAATGCCAAATTGTCAAGGTAAAAGGGAACACTGTGTTGTCTCAGCCGTGAATGGCAGCTAGACTCAGTAAAACAATCACAACTGATTTAGAGCTATGAAAAGAGAAAATGGTTATTGCTGTTTTTTTGCTAAAATATTTACTGTAAAAGATAGGTACTACAATGCTGTGATTTTGGTTTCCTATAAACAGGCAAACATTTTTCCATTACATTTACTTGCAGAGTACTAAAAGTTAATTAAAGGTAAATAAGAATTTTACAACTACTTATTTTCTGATTTGCCAAACTAAACTATTACCAGAGCATTATTCCAAACTCAATAGGCATAATTTTTTTTATTAATTCATCTATTGCAGCAATTAAGAAGAAAGTCATGTTCACTCATTCTCTGTAAAAAAAAAAATGGGAAGCCATATTTATGAAGCTCATAATGTATGTCTTGTGGTTAAGAGCAAGGTTTGGATTGAGACTGTTAATCGTCATTACGGAAAGGCAAACTGCATTACCATTTTAAAACGTTGTTGTTTGCCATTTGTGGTTTTCCTGTTTGGGACAAAATGCAATTAGCCTGCTGTTTCTGATCCTGGTATCATATATCAGTTGTGAGCACACTTCCTAATCCATTAGGATACAGCTATCATTACTTCATTTTTCCAGGGAAATAAAACAAAACCTCACATTTAAGGGGCACTTATGGTATGCACAGAAAGACTTTAATACAACACGGAGCATTTTAAATTGTGCAAGCGTAATATACAGACACAAATTGTTTTTCTTCTTACACTTTGTAATTATAGGTGTTTTTATTCTCATAAAGAGAATTGGAAGATCTCCTGAATGGCTCCTCTATTAAATGATTCTATCTGGAATGCAGGATGAGTACTATAGTTTGGAGAGGGCAGGCTTCAATCCAAGACGGGTTTTACACTTTGTGGTGCAGTAGCTCCAGGGGCTACTGCCCAATTGCTTGGGTCATGGCAGGGCAGAGCTGATTTCAGACTGATTGCTTACCACCAGTCGTCCATTCTCTGCTATAAAGACCTTACAAAACTGGGTGTTAGCAAAAAGCATTGCTGCACAGGCAGGGTTAGCACAAAGCCTGAAAAGACTTCACATCATACACTGAGGAATTAAAATAATTCAATCCCCTTAACTGTAAAAAAAGAATCTGTAAGAGCTTTGATTAAGGTATTTAATGGAACTGAAAACATTTACCTAGGCTTCTGCTCTGTCTAAAACACTGCTTTATTTCATTACTTGAATGACAAATGTGTTTTATCATTGTTTTTCCACATCAGTTTTCTACTGTTGTGCATGTTTTGAACAGTCAGGCAGCATCTGTTAATTAGAGCTGTGTCCTAGGAAAAAAAATTCTGATGTGGTTAAATGTGCCACATGTTTTTTTTTTTCCATCCAGCTACATACAGTACATGTGGTGCTCCCTAATCCAGTGTTTTGTCCCTATGAAAAGCTTTATTTTTTAATAGGAGCCATAGACAACATTGTTAGTCTTACATAAGGAACGAATGGATTGTATAGCCAGTGATATTGACAAAGGATAATCCATCTATAATACTATAAAAACCACCAGATTGTGGAATCACCTGATCATGTTTGGGTTATTTAAAGGAAATAGATACCATAGTCCCAAATTATTCTACCCATACTGGGAGTTGTTGTAAGACTATACTTAGGTTGCTTTAATCATTGAGTTCTCATATACTGTATACTGTAGTATTGTTCAAGAAATACATTTGTCTATAAGTAATCTATGCCGTTTGAACATCGTTGGATTTCATCGTTTAAAATCTTAAAAACTATAATTAGTAACTTTATTTTTAATTTCTCGTTTGCTCATCCCATAAAATCAAATAATAATAATATAGCTTGTTCTACTAGTTCTACAAACCCGTTACTAGTTACATTCAGACAGGTACTGTACTTAGCCTGCCTAATTATAACGCAAAACTTTACTATATCTTAATTTAAATGACAGTACCAATAAACCCACGCTTTGTTCCATGGGTTTCTATGACAATTGTATGTACTTTGATTCATTCAATGCAGCCCCTTAAACTAATTTAGATTCTAATTTAAATAATGCAGAATATGGTAAAGCAGACATTTAACGAGAATGCAAAATTCAAAAATTACCTTGCATGTTTTTTACTGCCCTCACAAGAATTAAGAGACTTACCTACTGTTGTGAATACTGTACAGCAAAAAAACAAAGCGCCAGAGAAAGTCCATCTGTCCGGCCGCTGAAACCAGACCGCCTTAAAATCTTGTAAAATCGTCTTTCCCAAGTCGGTCACCAAATGTTGCGGAGAATCGGATGCACTTACTAAAAGACAATTTCAAACAATTTTCAATTTCAACAAATCGAAATGACATTTTTCTAACTGTTATAATTGTTAAATCATTACAAAACAAAACCTATGCGTTGTCTGTTGCCGTTACTGCTAGCAGGAATAGTAAGAACTGTTCATTTATAAAACGCGCTCTAAAAACAGAAAATGAGTTAGAATGAGTGACCACTTTAACTGAACATAATGTTTTAGCGCAATAGATCCAGTAAAGAAAGAAATAAGTACCCGTGGAATTCTTAACTTTGTCCACTAGTTTGTACAAAAAACTCTGAAACTCATCGTTAGTTGAATTTGTTACAGTGTTGCCTTCTATGTGTTTAAATAACAAAGCGCCAAAAGCGGCGTATCCCACTAGTGAGAAGATAAGGCACAAGTGCGGAAATACGGTCCATAACATCTGAGAGCAATTGCATGTCACCCTCGAGGTTCGCCCTTCTTCAGGTTCAACAGACATCTTAACAGCGTCCAGCTAAGCTTCTAATGCAAGATGGAGCGCAGTACCCGTCTTGCCATTTCAGCCTGTGAAAGAATTGGATTAAAGGGCTGCAGATCTGCTGGGATGATGGTGGACCACACCATGCTTCCGCTGTAAAAAGCACTGACTTGCGGTTCCCTGAGGAGTAAGAACATTTGACTCACGCCAATCATCTCCTTAGTCTCCGCGCACACACAAACCGTGGAGCGCTAATGGTAAGTTGCTTTTGAAATTGTATTGATTGATTTGATTTAATACGGATGTGTCAGTCATACGAATTTCTGAGGAGAGAGCAATGCTTATCCGAACATTATACATTTGAGTTTTCGTCAGCTGTTTGTGAGCACCAGCAGAAGAGCATAGTTAAAGTTTTAAGATGTATCAGTTTCAACTCCTAAAAAAGTGAGATGTACCCGCTCTTATGATAACCTTTACTCGAAAAAAGAAATACACAGCTGTCGTCGCTTCCCTTTACAACCGCAAATGTATTTGCATTTTTTGCTTTCTAAAATTAGTGCCGAGACAAATGTCATGAGACAAAGGAGATTTTAAGACGAGCACCTGTCCCTCTCAGCAGTGTTGCATTTGAAAACAACAGCTGGTGGATACTCAGTACATTTGTAACCACTACAGTATAAACGAGTATTCTCTAGATAAGAGAATGTCTTTTAAAAATCCGTTACTTAATTTATTCTTTTTTGAGACGTAGTCACTTTTATTTCAAACGGTTTATCTATGTATGTACATTGCAGATTTTAATTTTACACGGATGAAAGTGGAATGGAACCCCAAGACACAAATTCACACAAATTTCAAGTTTTCATTTGGCTGTTTTTCTTCTTAGTTTTTCTATAGTCAGCTGCTAACTGCAAACCTGACTCCATGATTACACTGTAATGTGTAAACACGTCTCCACTGAGATAAGTATTTCACATCACATAACTGTCAGCTGTGTTGCCTTCTAGAATGAAATAATATTAGGAGCACATCCATAAGCAAACAGCGACACTGCGGGAACATGTTATAGTTGAGAGACAGACAGTGTAACCTAATCGCTGTAACCCTGGTACAGCTCCAGAGATTCTATATTATTTTTTATTAATTTGGCTAATGTCTTTATCCAACTTAGTTTACTGTAAATGCAAAAAAAATACATAGCTGCATACTGTTTTACAAAGATGCCCATCCATCCATTTCCCAACTGCATTATCTAATACTCTACATGGTCACGGGGAAGCCAAAGCATATCCCAGCAAGCAACAGGTGCAAGGCAGGATACACTCTGGGTGGGCCAGTCCAATGGTGGACACACACAAACACACTCACAACTTTCCTAGAAGCTAGTTAACCTACCAGTCTTTGTACAGTGAAAAGAAACCTGAGCACCCAAACGAAACCCATGCAGACAAACAAACTCCAAGCAGACAGCATCCCATGAATTGAGCCCAGGGTCCCAGCACTGTGAGGCAGCAATGCTAACCACTGCGCCACTGTGCCATCCCAAAACACAAATATATTTGGTTTATATTTTACGTATAGGTGAAGGGGTAATAACAGGGACCTACAGCTGTACTTTTAAGGAGAACTGAGACTATGTAGGCCTAGTTGTAAACTAGATTGCTTACTTAAGTAAATTGTTGTTGTTTACTTACAATGCAGTGACAACATAGTGTGTACCACATTTTAGCCATTTATTTTGTTTCCCTTTTTCATTCTTACAAAAGGATCAATTTTCTAATACGGCCTTAATGGTGACACTGGTTGTAGATTATCATACAGTAGAACCGTGCTCCTCATTTTCCGGATAGAAGACAAGTTAGTTTTAACCTGGCTTGTTTATGTAGTAGTTTACATATTATTATTGTGACAATTATTTAACCATTGAGGGAGTTGCACATTTATTTACCTCTTTAAAATACTAACAGAATCAATTAACACACACAGAAACCTACCTTTTGCAGTTATAGAGGTTTCTAAATAGTTCTGTAATTGCACTATTTATAACAATGTACTGTACATGCTGTAACAGAATGCAGGGCTTTCATCAATTCTTAATGCACTGTATCAGCTTCCAGAAACACAAATCTATGAAAGGCAGGGCATAAAAAGATGTCATTATTAGATCCCATTAAAAAAAATCAATGTGAGAACAACATCAAGAAAATTAACTTCTCATCGCTAATTCAAGATTCACTTCAAAGCAATTCTTCCCTCACATAAAGAAAGCTGGTAAATTGACCATAAAAGTACAGTCTGCTAAGCAGCATGCTGTTTAAGTATAATACAGAGAATCAAAGGTTAATATGTGTTATAAAGATTTTTTTACATAAAGATTAGTAATTGTGATGCACTGTGTTTGTTTGAATTTGTCTGATCACTTTTGAACATTAGAGCAAAGGGTTGAGGTTTCAACGGTACTGTATGTGCTGCCTGCCTAAACTGTGAAGATTCTTCCACGGGGAGTTTGACATGGTGTTTGCATATTAAATAAACAAAATCTTTCAAGTGCTGTGGAGTCAGAGCCACAACGGAACGTATGACTCAGTGCTTAGTAGGTTCAAACTAAATGAAGCTGAAAACTTCGTTGCAGCACTGCTCCCCATGCCAGTTATGGGCTTTCATATTCAGCTCTTTAATCTGGCACAGGGCCACACCTCTGCTCAAGCTTTCAGGCCATGACTGATGAAATATAGGAGTACAGAGCTGTAGCTGTGACGGACCTCATTTTCAGTGGCTCCTGGCTCCTTATCTCCATCTGAAATAGTCACATTTTCTCAGAAACAATAACTTGCTGGAACCCAGAAACACCCTTTGTTGAAAGGAACCTGTTCTGGAGTTATGCTACTCATTATGTCAATATTTCCATTTTCCTTATTTCCCAGATAAGCAGTGTCTGCTGGCTCACGTTCTAAACATGTTGTAGGCTGTACTTAGTGGTGGTTGTAGATGGTTATGCAGCTGTGTCAGCTATGTGTCATACAATAAGTGATTGCCAAACCCGTGCTTTGTGTTTGAAATATAGCTTTGTCTTTCTTAATCATGTAGCATCATGTACTTCTAGAGTTGCTTTGCGTTGTTGGTCGTAAACTGTGCTATTGGGTCACCATGACTATTGCTGGTGACTATCAGGAACTAATCTTTGATGATTATTCATGATTTTAGCTCACTTGGATTAATTAAGGATAGCTGGACACAGAACTTGGTATTGTTTCTCCAAGAGGCCCCACTGCCAACAATATTGGTTAAAAGGCAGATAAGTGGATAAAGTATAAAGTATAAAGAAAAGTGTTCTGCAAAGTACATCATGACGAGTCTGAGGTCAATATTGTCCATACCAGCAAGAATGGGGCTGTAAATTCTAGATAATCTTAATGCAAATTATTCTAAGTATCACATCTTACAGTAAGAGCACCTGTAAAGAGTGCAGATCAAACCTTGCAATCTACAAAATGCTTGTCTGAATCTAGGTTAGGTCATTGGCTGACTATAACTTGAATTTAACTACTCATCTGGTCAAGAAGCAGTGGGGTGGGAATGGCTTGAGTCAGCCAGGCTATCCTGGGATTCCCAAGCAATTCTCTTATCTCCGAATTCCAGCTCTAATGTTGAGAGTATCTTGTCTGCTTCTGTCAATACAAATGGGTAGACCTGGATAAATCTACTGTACACTGCCTTTAAGGGAAGGTGTAGTTGATTCAAATGTATTTCAGACAAACTGGCTCTACAGCTCTAAAAGCAAATAATTTAATGTTGAGTTGAAGTTCAAACCTTAAGTGTAAAATCTGAGAGAGTACTATGTAAAGGTTTTGTTATCTGGTTTCTTTGTTTTCTTCTTTTGTTAAATGTACACATCATATATGGTACCCATTCTTTAACATACACATACTGTAAGATTGAGATGGTTTACATTAAATATGACAGTTAAATAAAGCTTGTATTTATCACATGTGGTAAGGTGACACAAGTAATGTATGATGTCTATAATATAATAATAATAAACTTTTTTTATAGTGCCTTTTTAAAGGTGGCTTCTCAAAGTGCTTTATAGAATGAGAACAACAATAAATAAAAGCAATACACAAGATAAAACACAATTACAATATACAGAGGAGACCGTGAATGGTAGTACTAGGAAAAGCAGAGGGGTGAAGAATGGAACCAGTTAAGTAAAGGCTCTTCTAAAGAAGAAGGTTTTGAGTCTGGATTTGAAGGAGTTTAGAGAAGGTGACTCTCTGATATCCTTGGGGAGAGAGTTCCAGAGCTTGGGGGCATAACAGGAGAGGGCCCTGTCACCCATACAATGTAGATTGGCTTGGGGGACAGAAAGGAGACCAGAATCAGAAGAGCGAAGGTTGCAAGGTAGGGAGTAAGGCGATAATAGTTCAGACAGGTACTGAGGTGCCAAGCCAAACAGAGCCTTATAGGTGAGCATAAGGATTTTAAAGTCCACACAGAATTTGACAGGAAGCCAGTGCAAGGACTCCAGGACAGGAGTAATGTGATCACTTGCACCAGACCTGGTCAGGATTCTGGCTGCTGAATTTTGGACATACTGCAGTTTGTTCAAAGTAGATTTAGATACCCCTGCAAGTAGAGCATTACAGTAGTCAATTCGAGAGAACACAGATGTGTTGATCAGCTTTTCAGCCACAGTTAGTGATAGCATAGGGTATAGTCTAGGGATATTTCTGAGGTGAAAAAATATGTTTTGACAATATGCCGCACATGTGGGTCGAATGTTAAGCCAGAATTGAATATCACCCCAAGGTGTTTCAATTTAGACTGAAGCTCAAGTACAGAACCATGTACAGATAGGGTTACAGGATTGGCTTTACAGAGTTGATGGGGGATGCCAATAAGCATGACTTCAGTCTTGACACAGTTAAGATTAAGGAAATTTTATGTAATCCAAGTGTTTTTTTCAGAGATGCAATTAGATAGAACAGAGAGAGGTATTGTTACGACCCCAAGTGTCTAGGGGTAAAGGGGTGTAACATTTAGGATAATTCTTTTGGAAGCAGGGGGGTTTTGGTGAGGGACTAGGAAGCATGATAAGGGTAAGGAACTAGAGTGGTGCCAAAGAAAA